CATCGTTGATGGTATTGTGACGTTTACTATAGTAGGATCTGACTCTATGTAAGGCTCATTGGAGTGGGTTATATAAATCTATTGGCCATTGGCAAATTGGATATCATGTTTGGGGTAGTCAGGTTTAGAATCATGATGCGATATGCTTCGTTGCTTCTGCATACAGTTGCTTCTGTACCTAAGGTAAGGGGCAACGATGTCGCTTTTTAGATCCACGATCGCGTGCTTATGTACTTTGTAGGTAGGGTGTAATAATGTAATTCTTAAGGTTTGATTGGTTGATAGGTGCATTTGTATAGCCAGCTTATTTGCACGTAAATGAATTTATATGGCTTACGGGTGTTATACCTACTATAATAGGGCCGAGTGGGCCCGCAGGTTATCCTCCATCCTCCAAAGATCTACCCGGCTTATGTACCTACATTAGGTATCCAACTGCTCAGCTGCTTCACCTGGTTAGGGTGTCTTTTAGAGTCGATCGCGTGAACAAGAATGGCAAGGAAAACATGCAAAGAACGATTGCTTAATTTACCTGATCAAGAAAGTGTTCTGCTATACTTAACATTTGCGATAGAAATTCGTTTGTGGGTTGCGGATGAGTTCCGGCTGGCTGGTACTTGTAATGAGCGGGATGCCTCAACTGCCTTCGGTACCTAAAAAATCTTATATTTTGAGTCTGGGGAATTAATTTATTTCCGTTATCGGTACCTATCATGCCACACTTACCGTGTTAGGTACATACTGCATATACTGCGCTAAAAACCGAGGTTGGACGGCGCTGGAGTCGAACAACTGCGGAACATTATGTATGTACCTACCTAACATCCAGGATAAATCGATATGGGGTAGCCTATCGAGCATACTATGTATAGCAAGGCATTTCATCATTATGTACCTATCATATGACTATTCGCTTACCAACCTCGATCGGAAATCGCTGAATCGAAATCTCGCGCTCAGGTAAAATGACCACGCGACCTCGCCCGTAGAAATTACTCTAGGGGGTAGGATGCTATAAAAGTCCCACAAGTCTCGAAGTTGGAACCCGGAGACGGCTACTCAAAATGTCATAGCTTAGATCTTAAAATTCGGTGCTAGCCGTTAGTCGTAAAGAGGTACATAGCTTACGATAGGTAGGTACGCGTAATAACTCAATTCTGACAATATGTAGCTTATCAGTTCTTCTCGTATGTACCTTTGTGGCTGATTCATGGAGTGTGGCAAAAGGAATGCCGTGATACCGATTCGAGAGTTAGACAAGATTTGGAATTTTCCCGAAAACAAGATCACGCTTATGCAAGCCTCATCGGCTGGGCAAAAGCTTGATGAATCAATGAAAAGAACCCGTTCAGCTTGGCTTGAAAGCTTGATCGAAGCTGATTGCCTTTTTGCCGTCTTTGGCAAAAAATAGCGTATCCATGGCATACATAGTATCAATAGTATCAATAGTATCAATAGCATCGAATGCTTCGGTTCAGCTTCCATGCAGTGTTTCCCCCAATGCAGCCACTAATCTCATCCATGCAGTCTTATCCCTGCCAAGCCCGCCCAATTGAAGCTTTGGACCCTTTGCCAACCCGCGCATCTCACGCATACCGTATTGATTATCTTGTTAATATGCGCCAGGCGATTGGGCGTTAGGTATTACACAGCTGCACAGCTACACCATACAGCACACAGTAGGACTGCGATACAACGTAACAGCCCCTAGCAAAAGTCCCAAGGGCTGGTTGCAGACAAATCACCTTCCCGTTCCGGCAGAGAGATTCCCAGAATTACGAGCATGTTCCCCCAGCCGTGCTCGACGGATGTAACTCGGTGATATACGCTAGCTCGCTAGACCCAATCTGATTTCTTTCACCACTCGGCCGGCCTCGAGAGGCTTTTTTGGAGACTGTCCTTGTCAAAGACAAAAGATACCGGGACAGGGGTAGCCCAAACAAACCCCATCGCTAGACCCGCATGGGTGGCACGAAGATAACGACTCTGTCTGCTCTTACTGGCTGCCGCTCCATGCTCGAGACCAAGACAGGTAGAGATACGGAAAGTCCGACGATATGGTCTGGTCCGTCGCTAGTAAAAGTAGCTCCAAGAACCTGTAAGATCCTCTCTCTCGTCTTTCGCCCCCTCGAGCCTCGCCGCACGCCGAGAACCATCTATAGCATGGTTATTGCTTTTGCTTGATACGAGGCTCACCTGGAGACCCGATACTTGGTAGTATTTATCCGTGTCAAACCCCATGCATACCTAGCACGCATCTAGTACGCACGTACATAGCTCCCGATATTGCGGGCCATCCTGGGCCTTTTTAGCATAAATCCCACCGTCCCCTCCGATTTCTTGCTTTCTCTGTTTTCTAGTATCGCATCCATCTGCGTAACTGCGAACCGTCTAGAGACAGGGATTAGCGATGGGTATGTTGAACACCAAGAGACGTGACGACGATGACGATGTCGACGTCGACGTCGTTTAGCTATTTGAACGCCTGCTGACATGCCTTAGGTAACGCAGTAGACCGTGCCTGGGGCACTAGCTCGCCTATCGACGAGGAGAAGATGTCCAAGACGCCTCCGGGTGATTCTCACAACGCGTACCTTGACCCCTCTATAATGGAGGCGGATTACGAGGGCAAGCCGACAGAGGAGGAGATGAGGACTCTGCGCCGAGTTCCCGGCAGCCTACCTGTTGTCGCCTATTTAATCTGCGTAGTGGAGTTCTGCGAAAGAGCTTCTTACTATGGTATTCAGCCCCTGATTAGCAACTATGTTAATCGACCTCTACCGGCAAATGGAAACGGATACGGAGCTCCTCCGGAGGGGACCCAGCAGACGGCCGGCGCTCTAGGGCTCGGAACCGTCACGGCAAATGCTGTTACTCAGTCCTTTAGCATGTTGGCGTACGCGCTACCTATGCTTTTCGGCTGGCTCGCCGACGTGAAGACTGGACGTTTCACCCTTATCTGCTGGGGTGTCGTCGTATTCGGTGTTGCTCACGTCTTGATGGTTGCCGCAGGTGCCAAAGACCTTTTAGCAGCCGGCACGGCTAAGGTTCCCTACTTCCTCTCCGTGTATATCCTAGCGATTGGTGCTGGTAAGTCTCTTTCATGGCGCATTTTTATGGAATGGTTAAGACTAACAGGCTTTTTTCTAAGCTATGTTCAAGCCCAACGTTTCTCCCCTTCTACTAGATCAAATGACCACGACCGTCCCTAAGGTCATGACGCTAGACTCTGGCGAGCGTGTGATCCAAGATCCCGAGTCCACTACCGAACGAGTTATGCTTTGGTTTTACCTTCTGATCAACATCGGTGGTTTCATGGGAGTTGCCACATCATATTCGGAGAAGTACGTGGGATGGTGGCTTGCATTCCTCATCCCTCTTCTGCTCTACCTTCCCCTCCCGATCCTTCTCTGGTTCCTCTACAAGCGATTGATCCTTCATCCTCCGGGCGGAAGCGATCTTGGCAACGTTTTCCGAGTCCTTGGCATCTGCCTCCGCCGTGGTGGGTTTAGGAAGCTTGGTCGCTCCGGTTTCTGGGACCTGGCTAAGCCTTCGCGCCTCGAAGCTGCAGGCCTCGACCACTACAAGGTCGACTGGAACGATGAATTTGTTGACGACGTGCGACGAACATTCCAGGCTACCGGTATCTTCTGCTTTTTCCCGATCCAGTATATTAACGATAACGGTCTCGGTGCCGCTGCTAGCTTCCTGTCAACCATGCTGACAACCAACGGTGTTCCTAACGACGTTATTAACAACTTTAACTCGCTTAGTATCATTGCTATGGCGCCGGTTTTGAACTACGGCCTGTATCCTCTTCTTCGGAGGTTAAATATTCATTATGGCCCCGTTGCCCGTATTACCACCGGTCTTGCCATGTCATCGGTGGGTGGTGCTGGTTATGCTATCTTGAACTACTACGCGTACCAGCAGTCTCCCTGCGGAGAGTACGGTTCTAGCGACTGTTCCATCGGTACTGGTGTGGCCCCTATCAGCATCTGGTGGATGGCCATCCCATTTGCCATTGGTGGTATTTCGGAGCTATTCGTCAATGTGCCCGCCTACGGTATCGCATATTCGCGTGCTCCTGTTAACATGCGTGGTCTGGTATCTGCTCTGAATTTGTTTAACACGGCCGTGGCCTACGCTATCGGCTTAGCCTGCTCTTCCGTCATTACCGATCCGTACTTGACGTGGGATTTCGGCGGCCCGGCCATCGCCGGTGGTGTCCTCACCATCGTCTTCTATTTTACTTTCCGACACATCGACAAGGAAGAGTATGTCCTCAGCCAGAACAGGGATTACCACCTTAATCTTGAGGGTACCACTAGCGTTGTCGGCGAGAACGAGCTGAACAAATCCGTTAACCGCCCCGCGCCCATTGCCGACAATGAGGAGATGATGATCTCGCAAAAGCAATAAGCATTTCTGTTTTGCTTGGGTGTTTCTCTATTAACGTGCATGTTGTATGTGTATCACGAGTTATTGGTGTCGATGTCTGGCCGGCGGGTGCCGTTAAAAAGGGAAGCATAATGGCTGGCTACTACGCCTTTGGCGTCTGTAACAACTTCTAGCTTTGCTCTTAGATGAGAGTATAGTTACAGGCGGCTATGATGTTAAAATATAATATACTGTTGATACCACATTTCTGTTGAGAATTTTCTACTACTGGTGAATATTTCTACATGGCTAAAGGCCAAAGAACACAACTGAAGACGATATGTTGAAGTATATCCTTGACCTTGGCCTGGTGCGGCTGCATTGCAACGATATACTTATGATCCGATATTTTCTAGTTTATTCAGCTCCTCGCCGTCTCCCGATTGAGCAAACTACAATTATGGAACACTTCCGGCAGATTTCGTATGCTTCCTCGAATATAATTCCTAATACACAACTCGCAATTATGGAGGTTATGGTACAGAGCATGTGCCATCATATTTGAACAAGCAAAATGCTGACATGCTTGAATATATACAGAGCACTTATAACCCTTCACACAACTCAGCATTGGACCAAAGCGGGCCCTGCTCCCATCAACTTGGACGGCGCGCACTTAGGTGCACTCCACGAAGTTATTACCGCTTGCTCCGGTGTGCGTAATAGCGCCTTGGTAGTCGCCACCCTCATTGAAAACGACACGGTCCGCACCGGGGCTGCCTCCATCATAAGGGTCGAAGCTGCTTAGGATAGGGAATTCGTAGTAAGGGGCCTGCCCGGGGAAGTCAAAACCCTCGCGGTTATTGTACTGGTGAGGATAGTCGTTCGAACCTGTGATATGGGAATAGGCTGTTAGGTATATAAGACGAATATAATAATTAGGAAATAAGTATCTAACGTACCAACAGTCTGGCCGGACTGGTGTAAAGAATATCCCTGCTTTACGGCTTCGTCGATATCTTCCTGCCAGTAGCAAACCTTGCCGCACGTAGCTACGCAAGTCTGATCTTGTCTTATGGCAACCTTCTCTACTGCGAGGGCCGATACGTTTACGATGGCCAGGAAAATGGCAGGGAGGATCTAATAGAGAATGTACATAAGCGATCCTGCCTAATACGATGCATGAGGGATTCAGACAGCAGCTCATTGCCGTGGACATACCTTAGAGCCAAACATGACGGGCGGCAATAGAGTACAACTTGATCGGTCGAGAGACGGAGATGATAACAGCTTTGACCTGCAGAACCAAGAGCAAGTGCTAGTGACATGTCGATGGTAGCATCTTGCCTACTACTTATAACGGAGACCAAGCGGTACACACGAGCTCAGGTCAGCGTGCGAATGTCTAATCCAAGACCTTTGACGAGAGAAATGGGCCAAACCATTGGACAAGAAAGCCCATCTGAGATCTTCATGCGACAATTCGGTATTACTAGCCCTGCGCGACATCGAACAAGACCGTTCAGCATGGATGGGAAACGGGTTGCGTACCTTAGCGTAGATCCGAACGCATCGTGACAGGGGATGTATACCTGCCTTCCCCTTTCGGACCCCATACGCCTGATACGAACGTAGATAGATATATGCTATACCTATCTCCTTCGTAATACCGTTAGCAGGACCGAGCGAGCCCGTTTCCTCAGCTGGATCTCTACGAAAGCCCCCCGTCCGGGATGAGAGACATGGTATATATGAAAGGGGAAGCCGGGGACCGCAGGTGGTCGCGTTGGGTGCAGCACGACAACGGGTTTGGCAGTGTGATTGGGCGGATAGCTCAGCTCAGCTCACCAGGCGGCAGATCGACAATGCTGCATGGGGCATCACCTGCCTATCACCGCAAGATCTACCGCCCTGGCTTCGTTAGTGAGCCGTTGCAATCGTATCACCGCGAACTAATACATAGTGCAACTTGGCGTGCGACCTGTCTAGGTTAGCTATCTACATATACCGGACACTACAGGCTTCGACCTCGGACTGACGAGGGTTGCAATCGCTACGTTTCGCATCTGCGGGCACCAGCACCGAATATCTGGGCATCTTTAGGCGCGGACCACTTCGTCAAAGCAAGGACCAATGCTATCGACATGACTTATTCCCGGAGTCAAATAAGCAATAGCGCGATCCGGCTCTTTTTCTCTCTTCTTCTTTTTTTATTATTTTTTTTTATTTCTTTTTTACTATTTTCCTCTCAATACCTTACCCGGCGATACGTGGTAGATGTTAAAGAACTTCGTGACTAAAGTTATGTCAGACGATTTCCAAGAATGAGAGTTGTTATTACCTAGCCCTTGTGCTAAGTCGGCTACTCTCAAATTGGAGAGGACCGCGTATGAAGCACGATGGTTGTTTCAGAGTCGTACGAACCAAGAACTTCATGTCATATCTTGACTCTTACTATTATAAAAGTTAAGAAATGTAAATATTCCCTCTTTCTATCATGCTAAATTTGAAATGGGCGATCAGTCCGTAATTCCTTAACCAGCTAGGTTAGTCCAGCCTTTGGATGTTGTTGGGGTGTAAGTTGGGACATACGAATACAAAGACTCCTAGTGTGATTATAAGATGATGAAGGAAGTTTAGCGGAGTTATTCACTGTCAGCAATCGATTGGGAAAGCCGTGTAGCCATGGCTGTAGCTTACGGGAAAGCGTAAGCTATTATGACTTGAATCCCTCTACGTACAAAATCCCAACGGCTTCAAAGAGTGGTAATCGACCCAGACTTAAATGCTAGAGTCCATGGAGAATAGTTGCATTCTAGCTTTTCAGCCCTATACAGCGTTCCATCTACCGATTCACTGAAAAGCAAGGAGAATGTTACGCAATAAATAGCTTCCCCGCAATCCTATCAAGACAAGCCCGGATCACCCCCCTAGACTAGACGATCCAAGGCGGCGAATGATATGCGATGGTGCTGAAAACACCTGGGAATTCAGCTCTATCACGCCCTGGAACAGTAATCAGATGCGACGATTCGGCCCGTGGCAATATTTCTTGTCAGCCAGCATGGCTCCAAAGAATCCTCACATCCGATGCGGTGTGTTATTTCATAAGTTTAACATCCGCATTCTAGAGAGTCTAACCTAGCGTGGTCTTCTCATAGATAGATCTTATCTTATGAGAGTTTTCCATCGACAATGAAACTAGCTATTCCTCTAATATTCATCGCTCTTGGTGCCAAGGCAAAATGCGAAACCTTTGACTACGTGATCGCCGGCGCTGGTACGTGCGGACTTGTGCTAGCAAATCGATTATCAGAAGACCCGAATATCAAAGTCGCAGTTGTCGAACCGGGTGATGATGTTCGCAACAACCCCAATGTCACAGACGTTGGCGCGTTCCTCCGCGCCTTAAATACCGAGATCGATTGGCAATATGCTACGACGCCACAGCCGGGAGCTCATAATAAATCAATCCCTTTCCATGCTGGCAAGGCCATTGGAGGGACTAGTACAATCAATGGTAGGTCTAATACAGTCTGATCTCTTAGTCGAACCCGCTAATAGTCTAGGTATGACTTACATCCGAGGCGACAAGGCTCAGTTTGACGCATGGAAATCTCTCGGGAACGACGGTTGGAATTGGGACACATTATATCCTTATTTCAAACAGGTCGAACAGTTCTCTCCTCCCACTACAGCCCAGCAGGCCGCTGGCGCCACTTTCAATGCAGAATATCACGGTAAGGACGGATTGGTGAAAACGGGGTTTCCATTTAGACTCCTTAACGGATCCTTCTACGAACTCGCTCAACAGGCTTGGGAGAGTTTGGGTTACCCCCTCAACCTAGACGTCAATGGTGGTGAAACACGCGGGTTTGATGTTTGGCCACAGACATTAGACAGAAACGCAAACATTCGAGAAGACGCCGCTCGAGCGTTCTACTATCCTATTGAACAGAGACCTAACCTCAAGATCATTAAGGGGACAGTGACGAAATTGACTTGGGGGAATTCATTAACAGACGACAACGCGCTCTTAGCAGATGGTGTTGAATATCTGGATCCTACCGGCCAAACGGTCGTTATAAGCGCAGCGAAAGAAGTCATACTGTCCGCCGGGTCTTTAAGAAGCCCTCTAATCCTTGAACGCTCAGGTGTTGGAAATCCGAGGTAGGCTGAAGCGTTAGCCAGCCATATACACATATTGACATAGCTAGTATCCTTAAAGAGCACGGCATAGAAACGAAGATCAACCTCCCCGGAGTGGGTGAGCATTTGCAGGACCAGCCCAACGTGGCCCTCGAGTACACCTCAAATATCAATCTAACAGGAACTATACCATACGCAACATTTGCCACAGCCCAAGACCTATTCGGCAAACAGACATCTGCAGTGGCAGAGGCGACATATGCCAAGCTATCCGAATGGGCTCGAAAGGTCTCAGATATTAATAACAGAGCTATTGATGCTCACCAATTAGAAAAGATATTCCGCATACAGCACAATCTAATCTTCAAAGACAATGTTACAATTGCTGAAACCCTAACCTCGGCTTCCGGCAATATCCTCCTATCAGCATTTTGGCCTTTGCTGCCTTTCTCTCGAGGTAGTGTCCACCTCAAGTCAATCGAGGCCAGCGATCCCGCAATTGACCCGGAGTACTTCTTAATCGATTTCGATCTCGCAATCCAAACCGAGCTTGGGCGGCTCTCGCAAGATCTCTGGCATACAGACCCGATCAGCGATGTTGTAGTTGGTAATCTAGTCCCTGGCGACGAAGCACTGCCTCGCAATGCTACTGATGCTCAATGGGCGGCTTTCATTGCAAGCACTGGTAAGAATGTCACATTCCAGTGGTGCCAAACTGACCGCACTTAATAGTAACTCCTAATCACCATCCTATCGGGTCGGCCTCGATGATGTCCCGCGAGCTCGGAGGGGTCGTTGACCCTAAGTTCAAGGTATACGGGACATCTAATGTTCGTGTGGTCGACGCGTCCGTGCTACCAATGCAGATTAGCGGTCATTTAACTGCCACACTTTACGCCATATCCGAGAGGGCAGCTGAATTTATTAAAAGTCCATAGTATGCCCAATAATTACAAGAACATCTGTATCTGGATACTAGAAAACCATACAGTCAGCCCTGGGTAATGTCTGGCCCCTAATTGAAATGGTAATGTGGCGTTCTAAATGCCCCTTAATTTCTCCAGGTTCTTTAGCCGGCATAAATCTAGGGGTCTAAATGCATGGTTCTCAACTGGCTCGAACGCGGTGAAGTCTTAGACAACAGTTACCCGAGGCTTCGGGCGCTCCCTTCAGAAGCCACCTTGATACCTATGATGATTGGATAGATATCTTATTTTGGGATACGGCCTTTTCTAAATTCACTTGCAGCTTTATCCTGTCCCTGACTACAGACAGCGATCGCATGCCTTCTAAGAGAACAAGAAATAATATACCCGAACCGGTCGAGATTTAACAAGATGGAAGAACACAATCTCATACAGGCATATCGGCCTATCTCAACAACATCGACAGCTAGTATTTGGACAGAGAGAACACTAGCTATGATAGTTGCCGCGCTGGTTAGCGTAGTCCGTCCTTGCCAAGATTGGCCTCTACCTTGGTAGCCTCACGCGCTTCCAACTAATACCATCGTGTCGTTCTACTCCGAAGTTATGAGAGCAGCGATGATTCTGGTACTGGGTGAATGTACGCCACCTTTCAATTCATGTTCGCTTATAAAAATAGCTAAAACAGGCACTCTTCTTAACTACCTAACCTACCTAGGTGTTTATCTCTAGGCCGTTAGTTAGGCTCAAGAATACCAGTCTCGGATCATAAAATGTAAAATTGGCTGAGCTAAACATATACATAAGCTCTATGGTATCGCCCCTGTACTCCCTGATTTGCAAGTTGCCGTACTTCCAAATTCAACATCATTTGCTCCCCAGCCTTATGCACATCCCAAAACACCGTACCCAAGCACCCAATATGCATCGTAAACTCATAAATGCTCAAAGTAATAAAATGCAAAAATGTTCTTCTTTGAAAAAGACATATGGCAACTGCTCCTCCCAATTCATAAACTGCATAGTCCTGTACCAAAATTGAATTTAGCACCGCGTCATCGCTGGTTAAGGGGTCCCGATAGAAGAGATACCCCCTTTCCACGAAGGTGTGTATGTTTTAATACCGGGTGAATGGATTTACACTTTGATGTGAGCTGATATGTAGCAGCGGTATATATTCGTATGAAACGATTATCCGACATTCGGTTTCGTAAAAGAAGTCCAAATAGGACGCCGAGAAGGACTTGCTCGTTTCTGAGCTATATAATTGATAATAAGGGGCGAAATTTTGAATCGGGCATTTGAATTCATTTCGAGGTTGTTTGGTCAGCCAAGGCCAAGTACTCTCAGACATAAACCCGGAGAAGACGGTCCCGAGCCCTCCCGGGTATAAGATTATAACGGTGACTCCATAGTGACCCACAGTAAGCGGTGGCGGAATTGCCTGCTAGGACTTTGTTCGGAATTCCGTGATCACACGATGCTCGCGAGGGTGTGGCGTTTATACCTCGAGGCGCATCTCACGTGTGGACAACTTGGTTTCGGTCGACCTTTTCCCCCATCTTCGGCACCGGCAGCGGTAGCGAGTCCCCTAGACAGCACTGTTCCTATCTTGCCTCTGCTCTCTCCTCATAAGAATGATTCCAGCACCGATGAAGAGCACCGCTAGAATGCACACCGCTGGGACTAGAGCAGCGGCATAAGTCCTTTGTAGTTCAGGCGAGACGCCGTTCCACGCTTTTGCCCATTCGGGGAGAGGAATCGACCCGCCCTGCACTAACCAGACGATGACAAATATGGCAAACAGAGCAAGGGCAAATACCGCCTGGATGAAACCGAGGAGCGAACGTCGAAAGGATGAAGGTTGTTGTCTTAAGTTGGCCATCTTCGTCTTCTCCGACCTTGATGGAGGAAGACTTTGTCACATATTATACTCTCGAAGCGAGAGAAGGGCGGATACAAGCAAGCGAGATAAATGAAACAACCGAAATCAAACGAAAGAAATCGTATGTAGGGCTGAGCGGGGGGCTTGGGGGTCTTGGATAAGATCGAGTACATATGCACAAGTTGGCCGGAGCCCGAAGGCTGGCCGAGAAGCTGAGCGGTGGGTAGCTTCGGGATGTTCGGACACTACGTGTTTGTCTTACTACGTAGGGCGGTTTTCTTGTAAGTGTGATTGGTTGGTCTAACTTATAGGTGGTGTAGGACTCTGTACCATTTCCATATATAGTACAAAGCCGTCGTTAGGATCATACGGATCCGGGCTTAGGCATGCAACCTATTAGAATTAAAATTCGGTTTACCCGGTATTTGTCATCCCTGTGATAATTATTGCCGCTATTAAACATTCCGACGGATATCTTGAAGCAACGCGACCGAGATCATCGAAAATACGCCTTACCTTTTTTTATCCAACCGTTTTTAAACTACGGGTACCTTAGAAAGTTAACTACCTCTTGGTGATTTATATAGAACTGTAGCACGTACCTAAAAGGATCTTGAGAATAATATTGATCAAAGACGAGAATGTAAGCTCGGCCGGTGATTGTACCCGGGCCCGCCCACTTAACAAACCGGCAAAGCACTTCATTGATTTCAGCCTCAATTTTGCGATATTAGTGTTTGATCTTCTATATGTCATTTTCTTCTTTCGCAAGCTCTTTTTCACTATTAGTAAAACTCTTAACCTTTTTCTTAAAAGCCCCAAATAATTATACAATAATAAGACTCGAAGTCAAGGTACACTTACATCATTGTTCAGGTGATGAGCGAATTAAATGTATTATTATGATGCCAGCTTATGTAGCCACATGATGTAAAACTAGATCTACATTAATCCGTAGATTTGTGGAGCGAGATCCATTCGATTCCCGCTCGGCTGGCGGAGCACACACAATCCCGAATCAGATCCTAGCTGTAAACATATTTCCGTGGACTGGACTGGACCTACATCATCATCACATGTATTACCTATATTTATATTTTAGATGTAATTGATCGGCATTAAGGAGAGTCCCTATCATAATTCTTATTACCCCTGAAAGAAAATTCAAAATGGATAGCCCGTATTCTAAAGAGTTGAGAGTTGCAATTGCGGCGATCCAATCAGCAGCTAAACTCAGCCAGGCTGTGATCTCAGTTGAAGACAAAGGAGTCATCGAGAAAGATGACCTAAGCCCTGTCACGGTAGCCGACTTCGCCATTCAAGCATTATTGACCGCTACTATTCACCATGCTTTCCCTAACGATAAATTCGTCGGGGAGGAGTCGGCAGCAGATTTGCGGGCCAACCCCGTTTTGTTAGACCGGGTGTGGAGTTTACTTCGAAGACTTGAAGACGACCAAGCAAAGTCTCTTTGTAAGCTACCAGAGACCCCCGACCAAATGTGCGAGATGATCGATTGGTGCGGTTTTGGCGAACCTGGCGGCCCGCAAGCCGGTCGAGTCTGGGTTTTTGATCCGATCGATGGCACAAAAACGTTTGTCCGACGCGAAGCATACGCGATAAACGTCGCGTTATTACAAGGAAGCAGCCAGGTCCTCAGCGTCGTCGGTTGTCCTACCATTTCTGCCAATGCTGTGGCTCCCATCACAAATACTTCCGTAGACCCAACGGGGCGGGGATGCATCGTATTCGCCGTGAAAGGTCATGGCACCTACACTCGCGCGTTGATAGCGTCGTCGCCCGACGAAGCCCAAGTTCGTAGAATCGAGCCGCACGCTGAAGCCGAATCATCTCAGGCTTTGCGGCCGGTATCTTGCTATAACATGCTGGACTCGGGGGTAGACGACGTCCATCAACTGATTATGGACAGGCTGAATATTAAAAACAGAGGCTGCGACTTGCTCGCATGGGTTCTTCGATGGGTAACTCTTGGTATCGGGCTCGCAAATATGACAGTCTGGGTTTACAAGCAGCGAAGTCGGACGGGGAAGATATGGGATCACGCAGGAGCCAGTACGTACCTAATCTAACATCAAAGGTTCCCCCTTTTCCCCTTTCTTCACCTATCCTTGGAATCAACATTCAACATTCCTCCGCCTGGCCGTTTAAAAGGTCGTATCAATCCCGAGGCATATCCAGTCCCCCAAAATTCACAACCGAAGAAGCGATCACTAACTCCAGCTGCCTAAAGTGCTCCTATTTGAAGAGGTTGGTGGTAAGATTACAGATATTAATGGGAAACCTATTGATCTCGGGGTGGGAAGGAAGATGAGCGCGAATTTTGGCTTCGTTGCTGCTCCTAAGGCGCTTCATGCCACGGTTCTCGAAACTGTACAACAGGTTCTACGTGAGCAGGGGAAAGGGCACTTACTTGAATAAGCTGCACTTACTTGGAGAAGCTAATTATAAGCATGAGCCGTGGCCGTCGAGTTTATATATCCTCGAGGCGTCCAACGATAAAAGTCTAACTCAGGCTTAAGGTTATAAATTCGCTCTTCGAAGAGATACTCGGCTCATCTACAGGGCATAGTGCTCTCACAAACCTGACGCAATGAGAACGCTGCTCTTCTCTATCCATATTTGCTCTGTAATTATAGTTGAGACATAAGAGCAGACACCCAAACTTCATAACAATAAGCTACATAAAAACCAGTATTCACTAATATCGCTCATTCAACTCACCGGTCCGGATATTTGAGTGTCCTTCGAAGCCACCAGCTCGTACTATCGCATTCTACCCTGTCGACTCCAAGAACTAGCGGTAGGTATAGAGATTTCTACAAGGTACTTAGGAAGTCTTAAAGCTAAGATAAAGCATCTCGACGAAAAATAGAACATACATATTAACCGATGCTTTTATAGTAAACAGCCTACATTAAGTAAACGTATCCAGCATAATAGGTGCCAACTAAGATAAACGCAAGCTGAGCATGAATTTCCAAACTCTTTCAACACACATGACATATAATGGACTCGGTATTACTTCGATCTAACTAAAGGGATAGTATTTAACATTTCTATGCCACGTATGCTCTGAGAATTCTAGCCGAAAGAAAGTTTGATTGAATAAACTTGACTTAATTCTAGAAAGGCTATGAATGTACGTCGAGTAAAATGAACGAGAGAATCCCTAGGAAAATAAAGTCGATTGCTAAAGCCATTTATGATACACGTAGGTCATGATAAAGGATAAATATCCAAATTGGTGTATTAAGTACATAATAAAATTAACCTAATACATGAGAATCATACAGTTTTAAAGCATTATATTACAGGGTAGATTAAAGCACTAGGTTATCCTATAATGTAACTTCGGATACTTTCTAAATAGTCTAACTTTGGAGAGTCGTAAATCACCCGTAAATACTCCAAGACTAACCAGGAACTGGTACCGGTTACCCATCCTAAAAATGGCGCGGGAATACATAGCAGGCTCTAATCGTAAAGATCGTCATGAGGTTGCTCCTCTTCGACGAAAGCCTCGTCGTTGGCAATATCTAACGCCGGTATTTCATTTTCTGGCACTGGAACAGGGAGTGGAGCCGGCGGAGGGAAAACACCTACAGGGTGCTTAATTGGCGGATCAGGGAAGTCATGCGGAGCATGAAATTCTGGAGGGACTTCAAAATGATGGTCGTCTTCGTCAGCAGGCCCGTCAAGAAGGTCCTCGTCAGCAGGCCCGTCAGCATTAGGATCATCTACTGCGCCAAAAACTACTGGTAGCGGGAATGGTGGTACTTCTTCCATCTGTTCTACCAGTAGTGGTGGTGCTTCAGCTGCATCGTATATCATGAGCTGTAAGAAGGCTCTGACAGAGGCGTCCGTCTCTCGGGTTACTCCAGGGTAAAACGCCTCATTCCTCATCTCGACGTTCTTTTCGACTAGCGGGAGTACATGCCGTAGGTTAATCATTAGATTAGGGTCGCTGCTCATCCAGTACGCGATTAGATTTTTTAGATCCAGGTCGATCGTCGTATTCATTCCATATAATAAGGTTGCGTACGTCCAAATTCCATTCTGTAGTGATGGCAGAGCCATAGATTGAGCGAGAAGATCATGGGTGTAGTCGTTCATGGCTAAGACGAAGAGTGTCTAAAAATAAAAAAAGGTTAGCATATCGCCTTCTATTATTAAGAGTTCCCAAGGGTATTCGCTTACTTGTCCCATCCCGAACAGATTTGTCTTTGGGCCCCGAGCATCCTCGATCATGTGTGCTTGCGAGAAACCGGCGAGTTTAAGAGGGGCCACGAGGTTATGTTCCGGGAAACTGTCTGGGGTGCCAAATATCAGGTTCCTGCTCTCGATACGCCCATGAACTAAGCCTCTTGGACCGGCATCACCCGGTGGAATGGTTTCTAGTCTTGGTTCTGGAATTTCTCCCCTATATCTGGCGTCACGATCCTCCCGTGAAGGCCTCCCGTATGCCATTCCTATACATGACCTCAACACTTTGGGGGTTAATTAGCATTCGAGAATTAAAATACTAGGATTAAAAAAAAAAGGAAACAGGTGACATACTACAGAGGGCTATAGACCAGAGGACTCGGTTCGGGACGGGAATATGGTGATATGAAATTCTATGTAACAGTCTGTCCAGATTGCCATTCTCGAGGTACTCCGATATCATATAGGGGTAGTCGTCTAGCGCCGTCAAGTTCAATTCCTTAACGAGCCTTCTGGTAGTCATTCTACGATCTTCCCTTCCCCTTCTCAGCCGAGAAGGGATGTGAGGATCCCTGATTACTTCCCTGGCTCTTACGCTGACCTGTCGAAACAGTCGACTAAGCTCATCAGCTGCATTCTCGGCAGAGCCACCGGCTTCTGCATCCCCTGCATTTGGATGAGGCGGATATTCACAGGTGACTAATGGGTGTATGATGTGCTCTGCGGGGTGCAATGACTACTTTGTTGTTAGCATAGCGAACTTTACATTCGAAATAATATAGACCTCGGACCTGGATCGTTTCGATCTCGTTCCTTAGCGTGTCCTCGGAGTCGTCGGTGAGGGCTCGCTTTATGACTAGCCTACGATACCGAGTCTTAGTTATATGACCTTCCTTGACTCCTAAGCGAACAACTACAGCCCCTACACTGAAGCTTTCGAGTCCCTCATATTTCCATTTCGACACCACGTTATTAAAGTTCAGCTTTAATTCGTTCAAATTCCTATGAACTTCGGTAGCCCCAAAAAGATGATGTCTTTGCCCGGGCGGGAGAGCAGGGACGATTGCATATTGCGGTTCTGCCATTCTTCAAGCAAGCGTTACGGTGTAAGTCGAAGGGTTGAGTAGGGTAGCCAGATCGTAGCTCAGAGCTCGAGATAAAATACATGGGACGTTGCTAGATGGTCAATGAAACAATGCGCGCTTATGGTAGATATACGAATCCATAGGAAAAAGGATAGAATTGATACTTTCTCGCTTCTTAAGATAAAGCAGGACGTTTACGGTCAATTCGCACAAAGAATTAATAACCAAGCCACGAGCCTCTGTTAATACCGTTGTCCTAAACGTAAAAGAGAACTATCTTTTATCTGTTTTCGTCCGTAGAGGGCCATTCTGGTATGAAGACTCTTAGAGCTATATATACTTTTCTCGCGCTGTCGTTGACGCCTCGCTATTTAACCGACCTTGTGATGGTGTCCGTGTTCTAGAGGAGCAGCGGAATTTCTTTGTACATATAAGGTACCTTATATTATAATAACTAATTGTGTTGAAACCGACGCCCATGAGCCGTGTTGTGTTAAAGTAGGTGGTTATAAGAAGCGTTTTAATGAGTTTATGGGAACTATCTTGTCGAATTGGTATAGTTAGTTTATCAAATCGTGTAAAGCCTTTGGGAATACATAAATTATAGGTGATACATAAGGATCATTCTAAGCTAGAGATGTACCTAGCCAGTAGACGTTTTTCATTACTGCAGTGGCTTGAATGCTGTACGTTAGGTACCTAAGCATGTACCTACATGTAGGTACCTACGGGAAGCTGCGATGCTACCCTCTAGCTTTGACCAATTGGAGGGCGGTATGGTGGACCAACCACCCGACTTTTCTCCCGGCCAACCAAGCACCTGCAAGAGGAACCGCGACAATATTCGCGACAATATTCTTTCTTAGCTGCAACTCGTGCTCACATGCAGATCACAGATCAAATTATTACCACATACTCTCGTTCAGGAACGCTCATCAATTATTGTTTAGGTACCTACCTTGCCATTCATTGATTTTATCTTAATTTATCTACGTCCCGTACTCCAATTGCTTAGCCGTAATCTACAATTTACAATCTACAATCCACGCTTGCAGCAGAACCAAAACATTCCTTGATCAGCATCAGTTACAGCGCATATACCTGTCGCGTATCCAAACATATACCTGCCTGACCGCGAATATGGCAGAGGAATTTGCTGACGATGTCGTCGAGGAGCAGCAAGGCAGCAACCCGGGTGCCGATATCGAAATGGCCGAGGGTGACGAGGCTGAGGGAACTGTTGCCAGAAACGATAGCGGAGACCTACCCTTCGCAGAGGGCGCTGATATCGAACCGCGTACTAGTTTCATAAGTTATCTTACTAGTCCTGTCGTGACTCTGGTTGTCGGCAACGGCGAAACGGAGACTATCCTTGCTGCTCACCAGGCCCTCCTCACTCAAAGCCCCTTCTTCTCCGATGCCTGCGCGGCCTTCACTGACGATGGAAGCGTACGTCCCTCTAATACCATCCTGCTAGCTATTATTACTCCGTATCTTACCATGTTCTAATACCTTTCCGTAGCCGCGACAAATAGAGCTCGCGACCGAGGAGCTAGACGCCGTCGGCTGTTTCCTAGAATTCCTCTACACCGGCGACTACTTCCCTAGGAAGCTTCCTGGTCAGCGACTACTAGAACAAGACCCGTCTATCCCCACCGTCGACGAGACCGGTGAGCAGCTCTTGAAGCATGCGCGCGTGTATACCCTGGCCGAGAAGTTCGGGATGGACAAGCTGAAGAGCCTCGCGAGCAGCAAGATTCACTGCGTAAACTCGACAGCTAAAGGAGAGATCACATATGCCCGTTACATTTACCAATACACCAACAAGGAAGATACGACGGTCCGCGCTCCCGTGGCCAACTTCTGGGCCACCCGCAGCCACACGCTACGTGCGGAGGCAGAGGATGAATTCCGCTCGCTATGCTTGGAATTTCCTCAGTTCGGTTACGATGTGCTTAGTAAGTTTCCGAGTTGCTTAGATACCTGTACGAGGGAGATCGTGACCCTAACGCATTTTAGCTCGCGTGTTGGACGAGAAGCTCAAGCGAGAGCGGAACGAGAAGCTGCATCCGGGAACAGGGAGCGCACGCAAGCGAGCCCGCCACAGCAACGTATAGTCGTGCTCTTATCTCTAATTGTAGCTATTCGACCTTTTATTTCAGTTGAGACGGCACTAGAGTCGCGCGAATACTCTAGACTGCGTGGTCGAAGCAACTTGCCCGCCTCCTTATACTATCGTATTAGTTTGAAGGGAGGCTTAAAGCTGGGGCCTTTCAGCATGTTTGCTTTCAGTAGACCCTGCGCAAGATTATGGTGCTTACAGACTCGATGGGAAAAGGATGGGATTCTGTATAATAATAAAATATATTATAAACGTCACAAGAACTCTTAACGGTCCCTGATTTGTAAGGAATGTAGCGTAGACTTTCCCTTAAACACCACGATGCAGTTTTATACTAGACGAGGTGAACATGGAGTGTTAAGTTTTCAGCCGAAGCAAGGGCGATGCTAACTATCAGTATTAATCTCATACCATCAAGCTAGTATACTACATTACATATTAGGCTACGAATGCTAAGGCAAACCCCCCCTTATGACTAGTCATAACCCTAGTAAGTTAAACCGAGACGTTGTAAATCCCAAGTGTAGTACGTTGGAATCCAACTATGATGGAGCTATATATATGGGTACGTGGCGCTCCCATTATTTCCACCTTTTCATTACATCCAAAAAAAAAAAATTTTCCTCCAACTCCATCCATTATTAATCTATAGCTGCAGGGCACCGAACGCCGTTGCGGAGAAGAGCAGGGCTACGATTGCACAACCTAGGGTGCTCACGGTAGTGTATTCGGGTCGGAGGCCAGCAGCGGCGCCGGGAGATTCCGTCGAGCTCGGATCGCTGTCGCCGTCGCCGCCGCTCTGGGTCGGCTTCGAGCCGCCGCTATGCGTGACGACGATGCTAGCGCTGGCCGAGGTAGGCAGAGGCGCGCCCGTATCGGTGGCCGTAGCTGTGGTGTTCTGGTTGCAGAAGATATTCCCAGGAGCGGCACCCTTGTCGCGTATACACTCGCTAAGGTCGCCAACGGTCTGGCCCGCGGCGAGGCAGTAGAGCCCGCATCCGTCATAGTAAGAGACTACGTCGGCAGCACCACAGCACGCGCCCATGATGTCGGTGTTGTTGCCCGTCGCGGGTACCGCGCACGCCGCGTCCTGCACTGGGATGACGTAGAGTAGCGCGCCGCAACCCGAGGAGGACGGCGTCGAGGTAGGTGCGGATGAAGTCATTTTCGGTATTCGGGGTTGGAATGATTTCTGGAGCGGCGGTGCGAGTATATAATAGACTGCTTTCGAGTAGTGAATGGTATCGTTATGTATGTATGTAATGTCGAGGTTACAAGTTGGAGGGAATCCTAAGAAATGTCGGGTGCATTCAGCTTTCGGGCTGAGAAAAGTTTTAAATACGGGCTTGTGAGACCGCTTTGACAAGGTCTCGGCCGCGAGTGGGCTGAGCTGATTCGAACCAACGCGACGTTTCGTTTCTCCATCTCGTATCCGGTGCTTGGAAAAAAAACAAAGGCTTGCTAGGTAGCTTGGCTCGACAACTATTAGTTAAAACGATGAAGACGATTGGACCACACGGCAATCGATGTCCGTGCACGAATCATCGAGCAGACCAAACGCATATACTTCGTACATAATAATGCGTTATAATAAGATTGTCCCCAAAATAGCAATTAGACATCGTATTTCCATCAGTCTTATTACATAGTATCTGTCTTTGCCAATTCTACTAGTTCTGCTAGCTGTAGGATTTCTTTACATAGCCTCTCCAACGCTACAGTAGCAGCGCTGTTTGGGTTATATGTATGTATGTTGTCATCCTCGCCATCCTCGTTATCCTTTAGGGGGTAGATGGGAAACCGGTTTTTGGAGGCGTGTTCCATCGACGGTCGCAAGAATAGTGTACCTACCTAATGTAAGAGAACGAGCTATCAATGATCAAGAATCCTTCGGAGGATTACGAAGTGATACATAAGCCACCATCTGCATCTCGAACATCCCCCGAGGGTTACAGCAGATGGAAGTTGCCCCTGAAATATATGTTATAACAATAAACATATGTACATATGTAGGTACCTCAGGTACGGTGCACATGTTGTAGGCAGCGTGGCGTGGTGTCGTACAGAGAATAGTTCAGCTGAAAGTTTTGGTGGTAAAAAGTGCGGGAATCATGCGGTCTTTTCAGCGTTGTTATGGTGGACGGTTAGGACATTTGTGCCAAAATCGAAAAAGTCGGTGGCACTATGTCTAATACGGTAATAGTAACGCTAGGAGTACAGTATAGACTCGATTATTTGCCCTGTATACACAATTTACAAGGTAACACATACCCCTTTGGAATCTAATAGTACAATAACTTTACGAATATTTATCCAGATTCTTTTTAAAAGACATTAATATTTTAATTAATAAATAACAAAAATTATGGTCCAGGTTGCATGCGATTTGACCTAATATTGGTAAAGATATTAAAAAGGCTATAAACGTAACTATACAGGCCATTTTTCCAAAGGTTTAAAAAATGAGCATTCTAAAATCTAGATTAGGCCAATCAGATTAAAGATTCCATTGTCAATTACCTTATACACAACAACAACATATTTAAATAACTTTACAGAAACAACAATTTAGACGTTACAATTGGTATCATTTTATAGCCTTAATTGATGCGAAAACAATAATTCAAGTTGCATTTGAATTGGCCTTTTGGCTGTTGTGTTATAGTAGAATCAAATAGCGCTTGTCTGGATAGCGTTTGTCTGGAGAGGCAAGCACGTGATACCCTTTAAAAGCACCTCGATAAAGTCATTCCAAACAGACTTCAGATACTTTAATAGCAATATAATACTCAATACATATCGCATAAACATGCAGTTTGGTCCATTATTTTCGCATCAATTAAGGCTATAAAATGATACCAATTATAACGTCTGGATTGTTGTCTTTGTAAAGTTATTTCAATGTGCTGTGTATAAAGTAATTGAAGATTAAATTAATCCTTTATATTTTACTTTGTATATACCCCGCATAGTATACTGTGCACCTGCTATATTACCCTTTTTGGAAAGCCCCGACCCATTTTCCTGATTTTGGCACAAATGTCCTAACCGTCCACCATAGTTGTAGTCGTACAGAACTAGAGAGAAACGCTCCTACAGAACGCAAGGTTATGCCGATTTATGCCGACCTACATTAAACAAGGTATGGTACATGTATCTTGTCTGCTTGTATGTATATTAAAGGTACAGCAGTTCTTGCCGGAGACCGGCATAATAGGTGTGGGGGTGGACCTGGACTACATCCTAGAAAGGTTATGTAGTGTACTAGCTACCTACACATAGGAGGTAGGTTACCTAAGGTTAGTACATAGTCTAGGTTAGTGTAAATGCTAAATGGGAACACCACGAGGCAGTGGATCCAGGGGCCGAAACGTCCAGCCCTATGTGTTACATACCCGCGGACATCTAACCTACATGAATGTATCTTCTTAACCTATATCCTCATATTTGGTTTAATATTTACAAAAGTTCCATTAGGTACCTAACCCTATACGTAGAAAGTTTCCAAGGTATTCTTATCCTTCGACTCATACCTCTGTACATTTTTCTTACTTATACTCATCCCCAGGAGAGAAGAATAAGCCACACGCGTCAAATTACGCCTTGTGCTACCCAAAGAATCCCTACCTAGGTAGAATATCGTCAGCGGCCTGATATACCTAACTGACTACCCCTTGAAAAGTATAAACTGGGTACGTTATTATACATAGTACGGTATCAAAGACTGAGTTGATAGTAAGCCGGGCCGCATTCGGTAGATTGGCCAATGGTATCGGTATCGCAACTATCCAGCACCGGGGACAGGGATAACGTCGTATGCAACCCTTTTGCTGCAGATCTAGCGCACTCGTGATGTAGCAACGGGTTTGGATGGTCTAATCACTGACAGCTCACCCATTGGCTTATCTCGCTCTCGCTCGACTATTTTTGTCATCACCCTACCCGACCGGAATTGGGGTCCACGTCCGACTCTGTCGAGATCTCCTGAAATGTGCCCGACTAAACGGACACAGCCGCTTCTCTAATAAATGGCCACACCTGGAACTTTATATGAACTACCACGCCTATTTTGCATGTTTCACTCTTGTGGCTATGCCCCTATATCATGGTATTCGTCTGGTTCAAAAAGTGCAACCCGGCACGTTCTGAAGTCGCAAACGTTTCCCCGCTTCGGCCCGCGAGACAACCTACGTGATCATATCTTGCATCATCTTAGGTAACTCACATATACAGTAGCACATCATGGTTGGAGTAGCTGGTAGGAGTAAGGGCTGCAATACGTGTCGTAAGAGGAGAGTCAAGTGCGGTAAGGAAAAATCCTCTCTGGCGGATGGGTCTTATCTGATAAGTTCGCGTTATTGAACCTGAGAACAGATGAGGCAAAACCCCAATGCTACCGCTGCGTCAAGGCAGGTTTCGAATGCCTAGGCTATCAGAGAGCTACGCAATGGCGACACACTTCTCTGGCTCCGGTTCCTGCATCTCGGTTGCATATGCCCGACTTCGTAGGCGTTGTGCAGCCGGTGCCTGTAAGTTTCGTGCCGCCGCCGGAACTTAGTATAGATGTCTTCGAAAGAGATATGTGTACTGCTCACATGTTTGGAAATTTCGTGTGGAGGTCCTACGGAACTATTTGGCTCAATCAAGCATCCGAGGGCAGACTCGGTGGCCTCTCTCTTGATGCTGTGACGGCCCTTTCTCAGTTGAGCTTTGGTTTAAATAATAGGATACAAGAACTCCAGCTCAAGGGGGCGGCCCAATACGGAAGATGCCTGAGGATCCTGGCAGAAGAGCTTCGCAGAGATAACGCTGCAGGCTACGACAACCGAAGGTTAATGGTACCTATACTCGTCCTAATGATGGTTTCGGTAAGTCGTCGCCAAACCCAAGTTAAAGACCTCCAGTCTAATGATACTGCCTAGGCGATTCAAGCCGATAGAACTGCTGCGGTCTTTCATCTAAAAGCGATTGAGAAAGTGTTAATGCTGTGCGGCCCAAGAGCTTTTCAGCAGCAGCCCTTAAGGAATGCCTTCGAGGCTGCCAGGGCCACGCTAGTACGTGGTTCGATTTTACACTTACGAATTGAGTCTCTAACAGCTTATAGTTAATTGCCTCGCTATTTTCCAGGCGAAGAATATTCCTCGAAGATCCGTGCTGGCAAGACATACCATACGCATTAGACCCATACGCAAAACCCCAGCAGTCACGGCTCCTTGACATCCTGGTCGCCATACCAGGCTTGCTAGAAGAGACTGCTCACGTCGACAGCATGAGTTATTGTCCAGAGGACGACTCCAGTACCCCTTCTCTCATCTCAGATAAGCGGTTGAGTTGCCAGGAGAATTTATGTGAATGCATCGTTGTTCAATTAGAGAAACTTTTCCGCTGGCGCTGGGACTGGCAACGCGAATATGGCCAATACGTCTCGGTAGACAAATACGAGTGGCAATCAAATACCCCATCTCCCACGGACTCGGAATTCAGCGGCAATCCGAAAGAACTCGGTCGTCTGCGGTTCGATCGCTCTGCGTACGCCAATGATATCATGCTCTATAATTCTGCCCTGATGTGGTTGATGACTCTACTATGGAAAGTCGGACCGTTACAGGCGAAATCCATTATACAAGGATGCGCACGACATGCTGCTACCTCGTTAGCTCTGTCGCCGAAATCACTAGCGTTATCACATAACATCTCGTTCGAGCCGTTAAATCAGCCCGGCGCCGCGTTTTCCATCCGAGACCCCGCCATTGAAATTTGTCGCGTCTTTGATTGGCAATGCCGGCACCATGAGCAGTGTGGCGCTCTCGACGACCAAGCTTGCCTATATTTATTTCCTCTAGGAATGGCCCGAAGCGTCTTGGATCCCGAGCCGCGCTACCAGAAGTGGATCGATGACATGCTAGATTCAAGCCCCATTACCGCAGGCTATGGCAGACATGGCGGGAGCGTGGTTGGCTTTAGCTCATATATCACAAGATGCGCTCTCAATCCCGACATCTGATGCTAAAAGAAGATGTCTGGAATCTAGGCGAAGGCATCCTACTTGATGCCTTTACCTAGCGTCATTAGTCGCCAGACTTCAATGATCTTACGATGAAAAAACATCTATCCTGATCTATAAGAGGGCCCCGGAGTAGTACCATACATCTTGAATTCGTTTACGATAGTTAATGATAACGATGATGGGCGTGGATTTATGTGCAATATTTTCTGAGGCTAAAACCCCGTCCTTAGAAACTAAATCTATGCCAGATCGATCATGCTCATGCATATGCTAGATACGTACTATCCAAATATTCCCGTACGCACCATAAGAAACCAAAGCCATAACACCGTATCGCTTATAAAACCCACCCATTAAAAAGCAAGCGTTTTGTTGGCATCAACTATTACGTATTTGACTGGTAGGGTACTTGGTACGGCTGCCCCGGAGTCGGCGTGCCTTGCATGTTATAAGGGGCGGGGGTGCCCTGGGGGCTATATGGCTGCGCAGGCTGACCAGTTTGCTGAGGGTATAGGCCTGTCGTACCAGTATATCCGACGTTCTGCGATGCGTAGGGATCATATGCCTGGCCCTGCTGATACTGCGGTTGGCCGGCCTGGGGAGGGTATGCCGTCTGCTGGGTCCATTGCTGATTAGGTTGCTGATGCAAGAGCGGTTGTGACTGGTTCGCCGCATAGTTCTGCGGTGGGATTCCTGTTTGCAGCTCTGTAGCACCCGGGACGCCGACGCCGGTGTGGTTTATTCCGGCGGTAGTGCCTGCAGCAGAGGCTTTCTCAGGGTCGTCGGTCGAAGCACCGGCAAACGAGAGACGGAAATAGTGGCATACATAAGCGAACGTGGGGACGAATAATAGCATTACGAGGGCGCAGACGCCAGCTATTCCGCTTAGAATGTCCAGAGCCCCTTCCGTGGCCACACCAGCGCGCTTCCATACCGTACAATAGCCGCTGTTAATCGTACTACCGTCGCTGACGCAGCTAGCAGTAACGGGCACGGTGAACTTGCTCCGCCTATTCGCGGTGGCACCCATGGCTGCTAGCCAAAATATGATCATAAGCCCGTCGAGCGTGAGGATCGCCCACGTATTGTAAGCGCGCCGGCAAGACGACACCTTCTCGGCCAAGAGGGCGTACACGGCGATGATCCAAGTGAATATACCCTGTTCGTTAAGAGAATAGTATTAGTTATATAAGCCTATCCGCTTTGGGGGAATAGGGACAGAGGACAAGGACACGAGAAGGAATATACATAAGGAGGGGGAAAGTCCTGAAAATAAAAAGTCGAAACTTACGCAGACGATAACAAAGCCGAGCTCGTCATAGTATAATCCGTGGATCCACCAACCTGTCAAGGCGACTGCGATGAGGGCTAAGACGATTTGGAAGACTCGAAGCGCTATGAACCATGCCGGGGTTGGGATGATAACCTCCCCTCTCTTATTTGCGTTTGCCGCTTCCATTTGGATGGTTGCTCCAAGTCTCGACTCTGTTGTTTGTCGTGCAACTACGCAGCTGTTTCTCTGGTCGACCTCGTCTCTCCTAATCGAGGGTCGTCACTCTCGAGATGCTAGATACTAAGCCGTGTGATGGATTGTTCAGCCCAAGAGTTTATAAGGCCTCACAGATCTTCTGGGGAAATATCAGCACTGTCCTCTCGGGAGCGCAAGCCCGGTAGTTTTATAGACGGTTCCTCCCACTCCCCTCCCCCTCCCGCATTAGCCCTGATCAGCCTTGATATACCTACCTATACGATGGGTCTTCTAGTCACTCACAGCCCGCATCTGTGCCTAAATACTAGGTATTTAGTATCGGGCTTCAGCCAAGGAACTAGGTTATCGCGAGGAGCTCACCATCAGGTGCCTGTCCTAGCAGCTGTAGGGTCCTTTCAGCCGCACCAAGTAGGTAGATGACTCGCATCTGATTGGCCTCGCCCGCTTCGCTTCCCATGCATGTAACAGACTGTTGTTCAGCCGATTCCCGATTTAGAACCGACTTGTCTCAGCCAGCCACTCGCAGCGTTCCCTCAAGCGAGCCGTTGCGCTAATTCTGTCCAAAGCTACGCTCAACTGTAGAGGCGCCTTGGCAAGGCAGAATCAATATCCATATTCTTCTTTACGCAGTCGACAACGCTAATTAATAGATTACAATGACACCATGGTGGTATGTCGCCCGTATTCTGGATGGACTTCATTTTGATGATTGTAATTGAAGTCTTGAGCTGGAACTTCTTGGACGAGGACTATGTGATCAGCGTTTTATTATTGTTCGTCTATACATCCGATACACTACAGGTGAATACCTACAAGTACCTAATAATAGGTACGAAAATGCCGGACGCTTTTATGACTCCGCTAATTCAAATAAGGTGACATTAGTGTAAGCTTATACATATTTAACCTTCTTCTCCCCAGTATTATATATGCATAAGAGAAGCTAAATCCAATCCAATGCTAGGCTAGACGTATTGGAACATTATCGAGGCAGTAGATGGATATGTATATAAAAATCTAAATGTACTTACTGATGATATAAGTGATTATAAGCATAGCTTAGATTAAGGCGCCAGCACGAAGCCGCTCAGATTAGCGTGGATTGACAGTATTTATCTAGGACAATAATATGTTCCAGATGCCTCCGTATTTTTATAGCAGGTTTCCCCTTGAAATACTTTGCCCATTCGGTGTTGACCGTAGGAGCGCTAGGCCGCCTCTCTTCCGTGGGCGCAACCCAGGTTCCCACCACAAGAAAGCTCTCGTCTTTAACTATCATCTTGCCTCTAAATATTAGTTTCCCCTGGTCATCTTTAGTGAATATAACCTCCGACCCTATAGCATCCTCTGCCATCGTTTGCAAGCTAGCGTCCGAGAACCCCCTCCAACGCATCTCCCAGTTTTGAGTTCCTTGCGCCTTGGGGCCAACCCATACCCCCGGCTTCAAGACGCAAGCTTTCTCGAAGACTTCTAAGGAGTCTTCTAATAGACTGTTAGGCGTAGGACACGGTCGAAAGCGTGCGAGGGCGAGTAAATCGCCAGCTTCGATTATAGCCCAGAGCTGTCGTCCGGCTTTTTGGTGCTTCGCATTATTATCCATCTGCACCGTCATGGTCATAGCCACAGGCTTGCCTTCGGACACACCCAAAGCCTTAGTTAGCCCGATGGTACTGATCTCGTACTTCCCCATGACATTCCAGGCCCAATCGGGGCGCTCTTCAAGATAGCGTGACGTCGCACCCGCGTTGACGATAAATCCGGGGATCGGGCCGGGTTTGTTCTTCGTCGTAATGACCCTTCCCGTACGAGGATTCTCCCATTTGTTGTGAGGTTTGGGCAGGGGTCCGCCAGCATCCTGCAGCGCCAACAACTCTCGCTCGTCCTCCTCAGTATCCGAAGGAGACTTCTGTTCCCACTGAGGCTCGTAGAGCTGCTTCCAATCCTCTAGCATCCGGGACGCATCAGTTTGCGCCGTCGGGTCTTCGGCAGCAACCTTATCCTCGTCGCTCTCGGGGCTCGTATCATGCTGCGTCCCCTCTAGGATTAAATGCTTGCCCTTGTGCACCATGGCGAACTTGATGCGTATCTTGGGGCCTCTATTGTTTTCGCCGGGGTCATTTTCCTCTTCGAACAGGAACTGGCCTTGTGCCCGAGTCTCCCCGCCTAACCTAAAGCCGTCTTCCTCGCCGCGCCACTATCCAAGAGATTAGTCATATACCTCTGATCAATGGAAAGATCCAAATGAAGTTATCCCAAAGCGGGTACCGTTAGTAATTCTAACACACGAAATAGGCCCAAGACAGAGAACTCTTGAGGTTACATACCCTCATCAACCACTCTTTTGATTTCGGGCCTGGTCTCACATCCTCAGCCAATTCACATGCAGCTTCAAAATCGGAGAGAAATAGCTTGCCGTTAGAACTTGACGCGATTGCGTTCTTCGGGCATAATCGCATTCTACCAGTAAGATTCAGATTTGGGAAATTGAAGAAGGCATATAGCTGACATGTATGAGAGCTAGTATGCGTATAACGCATATCTAGAACGTAGTCGTTAGCATCCACGGGCTGGTACTTATTTCCACAGCTAAGGGTGTAGCGGCCGGTCACATCCCAGACCGCCGTGCTCGTTTTGCTTGAGCTCTTGTGCCTGACGCGTTTTGCCGGCGCGTTCTGTGCCTGAGGATTGCCGCTGGACACTTTGAGCGGCCTTTTTACACCTGAAGGTGACGTCATCGTATTTGAACCAGGTCCTAATTTTCCATAAGATGAATTAATATAGAATTGTAGCTGAAGGTATGACTATGACTAGTGAGCTGGTTAGAAACGAGAGCTGGCTTGGTTCACCCGCGTCGAGGAAAATGAGGCGAGCGCTTATCCCCTTGAGCCCAAACCAGGCCGATCACGCTAAAAAGGGGCCCGGGTTTTGAGCTCCGGGGATAAACCGTGCCCAGAAGCCTCTCTGATAGACGGGGACTAAAACCAGGGGCTCGAAAGCTTAGACCAATGATGTCAATTTTCGAGATCATGAAGTAACAAATGCATCCAGTCCGGGTCCACCGCTACCAAAAACAAAGTACGCCGCCAATCACTCTTAAATGATGGGTCTAAAGTCGTCGCGCGTGGAGAATGGAGGGGGCATCTAAGGCATTAGCAACGGTACAGCTAGACGATCAGATATCACGACTTGAGTAAATTGATAGATGATGATGTATATGAGTGGGTGGGAGATGTGGTTCTGCCAGGGGCTTTACTTGGTGTCTTTATGATAGGGCTGAAATATCCGGAGCTGGGCAGTGGACATATCTGTCTGTGATCCAAATATAGCAAGACATCATTTTGCTAGCTATTTCCCTACTGCCTTTCGTAAATTTTATAAGTTTAATAAGAAATAGAAACATCAGTTGAATACCTGGCAACTTCAAATTATTAGGTAGAAAGCATCCCTGCACGAATAAGAGGCGTAGCGGTCAATTCAGGATATTTTCTTCGCGGATCTATCGTCATATGAGATCAAGTAATATATAACTTAACAATAGCGAAATATTTATGGCCATACTGCAGTCATGGGCAACTGGGATATCCTAACCAAGCACTTAAGATACCTAGACGACAAGAAAAAGAAGAAAACACACGTGGGTAGACAATAGAGCCTAAGGCGGCAGACAACGTGGAACGAATGATACCAAGTTTCCTATGTAACATGTGATAAATTATTTCCTATACCGCTGATAAATCAAGAAATCGACCTACAATATATCCCCATCTCGTAACTATCCGATAACTGCCCAATGATATCTCTATTAACCATACTATACTAGCACGTAAAATATGGCTAGTCTACGTTATCCCCCGTACTCAGTCTCATCCTAGCTGGCCATGAGCTCTTCAAGCCAAACAGGGTGGTCATTATTGCCCTCACAGTAACTCTCTTATCCGGATCAAGTACATCCATATCACTGTCGAGCAGTGATCCATATACAATCCAGTTCTGCCAGGTTGATTCCTCCGTCTTGATTGATAGCCATGCGACGTATGAAACCCATAACGGCCAACAGATAGCGACGAACCATCTACAAGCGCTCTTAACCAACCAGTGCGCAACCATAATCCATACGCCAGCTCCCAAAGACAGCTCTATGTTACTCCTCTTCATCAATATCTGACCAAGTAAGGAGCTGTGCAAATCGTATATGTTAAACCGGAATAGAAGCGCCTGAGCAGCGATTACGCAACTGCAGGTAATTTGGTAGGCCGTGTATGCTAGCAGGTGCATAGCAGTCGCCCGGAGAAGCTGGAAAGCAAGTTTAGAAAAGGGATCTTGGCCACCTAGTCCTAGGATGATTGGTTTTTCCGCTCTCGACATGAATAGGAAGACGGACAAGTACAAGAATGCCGCTGTCCACACCTGTAGAAACGACGGGACTCCGTACTCCCAGAGTAAAGTCCTCGCGTCGAACGAATCGTTTATCTCGGGCCTAGGCAGAGCGAAATAAGAAGGTAAGCTCGCAATAAACCTAGTTAGGTCTGCTGATACCAGTTCCGCTAACCAAATAACCCCGGAGCCCGCTATTAGTCGAATAACTGATAGCTTTACCGCAATTACATAGTGGAAAGCCAATATAGTAATGTCACTGACCATCTCAATAATAGGCTGGTGAAAATACGCCGTATCGTGGTAGAACGGAACACCATTTGCCCAGTCGGCACGTCCCTCGTTGTCAACAGGTCCCCAACCTAGGCGCTCCACAAAGAACGCTTTTACCTGAAGTGATATCCTGTCGATTATGGCTTCCCTCGCCAGGTCAAGTATATTGCCGATGACTTCGAACACCAACGTGCTGAAGAAAGAGATAGCTACCGTGAGAGTTATTCTGAAGAATATGCGTAAGAGGTAGCACCTATACCCGCGTTGGAGCAACCATTCCGTATCTAACTCGGAGTGTATGAGAATTATCAGCACCAACAGCGCGGCACAGTGCCACGTTCCGTCAAGGTTAAAGGGGAAAGGGGCCTCCTTGTCATCTAAACTCCAGGCTTCGTCTGGATATTCAGGCGGGTCGGCTTCTTGGATACCCCCGTTTCGATGTACGATGATCTGCCACCATGACTCCCAATCTATGCCCTGATCCTCTTCAAATGCAAAGTCCTCAATTTCGAAGTCCAGCTCCGATTCTTCGGCTTGATATTCCCGATCTTGATGATCACGCTCGCCTTGAAACTCGTTATCCATTGTTGTAGATGAACTGAATTAGGGGTTATGAGCACTTGCATGCGGCAATAAATACTAATGGGTGTTTCTTCATGGTTCTATCTGCTGGCAATAGACAATGGAGATTACTAGTGTACCTAAATATAGAAAATTGAAAGAGAATTGGCCTTGTTAATGGAATTATGAAGGTATAAAGAAACAATGCTCTTCAAGTGCTATGTTTGTTAGCAATACAAAGAGGTGGGAGAGAAAGAGAAGCATGGTCACAGATGCATAGTAGAGCGCAACAAGTGAGTTTAAGGTATGCTTTGCGGGTGGGGAAATAATTAGTGATGCAAATATAGTATATTGAGGCCAAGAAGTGAAAATACTTACCTAGACATCTAGAATATCGTATTTCATTGTAGGCATTGGCGGTCATTGGCGGTCATTGAGAATAGTTAGTATTGTTCTGCCCTGGTTACTTATGTTAGCCGTAATATCTGCCTTTGCTTTTATAGCCGCTCGTAGCAACAGGATTCTGAGTGGTATATGTTGAATGGCGGAGATATCTATATAACACTTTGATGTTTTCATAACTTAGGAATAATTCGTAACATTGTATAAGCGAGGACGAGGCTAGCTAATATAGTCAACTTTGCTTCGCGCTCGTTAACAACCCATTCTATCAATCTTGACACGTTTATTCACTCCAGGTTTGTATCATAAGGGTCTCTGAAGCTAGCCTAAAGGATTTATATCTTCTCATACATGACGTCTGTCCTCATAGTGTACTTTGTTCCCTTCGTCACTATAACCCCTTCGTGATACATGTCCCTCTGCTGAAAAACCACCAAGCCTCCCGCTGTAGGGTTAATATCTAATTTTCCTTCCCGAGGGTCCTCAAAGTTTACCGCGAATCTCGTTACGCCCCCTTCCACGTCCTCGGCACCATTCAGATATAGATGGACAGTCAAGTAATAGCTCCTAGCCCCGTCTTTATCAACGAATTGCCCATCGCAATGCGGCTTAAAGTATTGACCTGGACCGTACTTTAAAAATCGCAGCTCGTGTCTTAGCCGGGAGACTCGCCACGTCTCGTTACGGATTATGGGGAACTGACCGGTGATGTCAGGTGCGTCTTTCAAAGTGACTACGTCAGGGGGTATATGTGGGAGTATCCGCTCTAGGAGACAATCAGCGAGAGCTCGGGATGTGTAGAAAATTCGGTTATAGAAACGAGACTTCGGGTCTAGGATCTGGGAGCTATCGTAAGCAGTTACCGTAGCGGTAGGCCAGGCGGCATCGTTAGGCGGGCTGATGAGTTTAAGCAGGTCTGCACATTCACCTGGTGTAAGGACATCTTTGATAGTCATCACGAAGTAGCCTGTATACTATTTTACGTCGGTATCGTTAAAGTCAATGATATGAGCTGAGATAGAGGCCGGGGCTGCTCCGTTTAAGACCTCTCTATCCTGACCATTATCCGATGCCATTTTTGGGTATGTGGCCTCTATCTCTATAGAAGCCAATGTAATAATTTCGAGAGTAGGTTGAGGTTAAAATTGGAATGATAGTGGATATTAGATTAAGGCCAGCCTGGGCTAGACTTTCCAGATTTCTATTCCAAATTTCTATATGTACCTGTTGACCTTGGCTTCCAACTCTATCCATAAAAGCGCGCATATTGTCGGCTTGTTTAGTGGGTAGTGGTACGGTTGACCAGACAGGCCACTGTGCCAAAATGAAAAAAAATCTGTGAGCTTAGCTTAAAAGGGTAGTCAGCCACAGGTTAGCGCAATTAGCTCGAATTATTACGGTACTTCGCACTTTCGTATGGGGAAAAAGGATTATCCTTTTTAAATACATACGTTATAACGTTATATATAATATGCTTTAAAAGGGTAATCTTTTATTAAATCAAAAGATTTAACTACACATTTAGATAACTTTACAATTCCAGCAATTACAACATTATAATTGATATTGTTTAATAGCCTTAATTAATGCGAAAATAATGATTCAGGTTGCATGCTTATACAATGTGTTGTTTTTAAGATATCTAAAGTCTTTTGAAAACAGTCGTCTCAAAGGGTATCACGTGTACGTACAGGTCTCTGGGATGATAGACGGGGCGGCTTCCTACTCTTTTTAAGATGCGCGCCCTTCTATTGGCTCAATCTTACACCGCCCGTCTGGCAATATCCTTATCCTTATCCTTATCCTTATCCTTACACCATGTTACAGCCTCATGTTCAATTCAATTCAATTCAATTCAAATGACGATGCAATGGCTATCTATCCTTAGTTACATATTTCTTTTACTTGGTTGCATATATTGGTTAAAGACTATACGGTCGCATGCAGTCATTCCGAGGCAAAAAGGCTGAAAACGAGGTCTTTTTGAATGATCTCTGATATATGTATGTATGTATGAGGCTGGCTGGCCAATCAGGAGGCTGTATTATATAAGGCTATTTGATTAGATTTGAGGCTAGGTGCCTACCTAATCATCCCAGAGACCTGTACGTACACGTGATACCCTTTGAGACAACTGTTTTCAAAAGACTTTAGATATCTTAAAAACAACACATTGTATAAGCATGCAACTTAGATAATTATTTTCGCATTAATTAAGGCTATTAAACAATACCAATTGTAATGTTGTAATTGCTAGAATTGTAAAGTTATTTGAATGTGTACATGTGGTAGTTGAAAATTGAATTGACAATTGAATTAACAATTGACAATTAAATCCTTTAATTTGATTGGCCAATCTTTCACATTATATTGGTTAAATCAATATCTCTATTACAATAAACCGTAATAAGGCTTAGAAGTATACATTTAATATTTTCTAAATTGTGGCAAGTGACCTCCTACCAACTTTAGTTTAGTGTGCGATTATTTTTTTCATTTTGGCACAGTGGCTTGTCTGGTCAACCGTAAGTGGGCTGGTTAGGTAGGTACCTATGTACATGTAGGTAATGGGCTGGTGGGGTGGATTCGCAAATTCTCGCCTCATGCCGAATGCAATGGCGAGATTCTGTCTGACCTGAACAAAACTTTAAATTCTTCTGTACTTTGTTATTCCTTTTCCTTTCGCCCAACAGATATTATACTTCGTTTTGACTTTTCTTCATATTCCTCCAAGAGGTCATCTCCGCCGTCTAATTCTAGTTAATAGCTAATATCTACCGTCCTAAAATATTGCCCGTCATGACTATCACGGATGGCACAGTACCTCATAACCCGCCGCATGCCGCGACGGTCATATCCGCGACCGAACTAATCGGCAACACGCCTTTGGTACGCCTGAACAAGATCCCGCAGTCTTTTGGCATCGAGAGCGAAGTATATGCCAAAGTAGAACTCTTCAACGCTGGCGGTTCCGTCAAGGACCGCATTGCCTTGCGGATGATCGAAGAGGCTGAGCGAAGCGGCCGTATCAAGCCTGGCGATACGCTAATCGAACCTACCAGTGGAAACACCGGCATTGGTCTAGCACTGGTCGGCGCGGTCAAGGGATATAAGACTATTATTACTCTACCTGAAAAGATGTCTGCCGAAAAGGTCTCCGTGCTGAAAGCCCTAGGCGCAACCATCATCCGCACACCGACCCAGGCGGCGTGGGATAGCCCCGAGAGTCATATTGGTGTGGCGAGGAGGTTGGTTAAAGAAATCCCCAACGCCCACATATTGGATCAATACTCAAATGAGAATAACCCGCTCGCCCACGAATTTGGCACGGCCGAGGAGATCTGGGAACAAACCGGCGGCAAGATCACATGTATCGTAGCCGGTGCCGGAACCGGTGGTACCATTACGGGGTTGGCAAACGGGCTGAAGAAACATAACAAGGATATCAAAGTCGTGGCTGCCGATCCCCAAGGGAGTATATTGGCTTTGCCCGAGGCGCTCAATAACGAGCATCGCGATGAGCCATACAAAGTCGAAGGAATTGGTTACGACTTCATACCTGATGTGCTCGATCGAGAAAAAGTTGACAAGTGGTACAAGACGGACGACAAAGAGTCATTCAAGCTTGCGCGACGGTTGATTGCCGAAGAGGGGCTGCTTGTTGGCGGAAGCTCTGGAAGTGCTCTGAGTGCTGCGTTGAAAGCAGTCAAGGATCTCGGGCTGGGTAAGAATGATGTTGTCGTTGTCATTCTACCGGACAGCATCCGAAGCTATCTGACAAAGTTTGCGGATGACGACTGGCTGGCAGCTAATGATCTTCTGCCGCCTGCCGACTCGGCGGCAAAGGAAGCAGTGGCTAATGTCGATTCCGAGAAGAAGTCCGAGGACCCTTACTCTGGAGCAACAGTTCGCTCACTGAGACTGAAACCGGTCCTCTCAGTTCTTGCCACCAGCCCGTGCGCCGAAGCTATCGAGACCATGCGTGACAAGGGCTATGATCAACTTCCGGTTCTTGCCAGCGCGGGAGGCAAGCTCGTGGGTCTCGTCACCCTCGGCAATCTCCTCAGCTACGTATCACGCGGACGAGCTAGTGGGCAAAGCCCGGTTAAGGACGTCATGTTCGATTTTAGCAAGATAGACGAGGTGGTTACCGACCCTAGAGAAGGAAAGGGAGGCAAGCGCCGCAAGTTTGTCGAGATCACGCTTGACACGCCTATCACGGAACTCAGTAGGTTCTTCGAGTGGAACAGCGCTGCCGTCGTCACCGAGCCTAGCCAAGGGAAAGCAAAAGCGCTTAGCAAGCCCGTCGCTGTGGTCACCAAGGTTGACTTGCTGACCTGGATGGTGAAGCAGGTTAAAGTTTGATTGAGGTTGGATTTATCTTACGGCGGTGATTTTTGTTGTCCGCTACTAAGTGACTGAAGATAAGTCATCGCACGGCGCTAAGGTGGAATTTCATCTGGATCTTAGATCGACCAACTCAATAATCTAGACTTGGGTGGGTTATAAATGGTAGACTCAACGTCTACAGACGGAATCAGTTATTCACTTGAGTTATTTACATAGACATCGTTTATAGAATACGCTGTCGTAATGAGATTACGTGCTACGGTACTAAAGTCATCTTCACATGATAAGCTGCGACATTGGGATACTGCATGATATTTTGATATTTGGCATCAATGTCTAGTAAATCATAGATGTAGACTCTGCTGCCGAGGGTTTAATAAGTAGATACGCGAGGTACCTAAGCCAATGATGACGATGTGGAAAGTCCATCTTGTATAGCCGCAAGATCGACTAATAGGGGATAATCTCATATGTGAATACTTGAGAGGATACTAATGCCAGGCCCTCTCTCGGTGGAATCTATAAGATATACATTAAGAGACCTTGGGGAAAAGGCGTGGTCAAGCGAACTCCTAGAAACCAGTAATGTTGCTGCACCCATCGAACCCAGGATTATTACATATTAGAGTGATGTTTATATTCTTTCCGATATCCAATCCCACCACTTGTCTACCTTGCCATCAAGGACGCTCCCGCCCATCACGTCAATTTCGATATCGAACTCCCTCATCTGGCCGAACGAAAACTTCTCGGAGCCGTACTGACCCAGCCAATCGTCCTGTTCCTCAGAGCCAACCTCGTCTACGCCAACCCCCGAATCCAGCAGCCCTTTGCTTCGAGACTGTCTTATCCGTCCAAGTTCGGCCTCGAGGTTGCTCTTGACAAGGGAGGCGGGCAAAGCAGTGAATAGATCCAACTTGTTCGCAGCGATAAGGACATGGATCGCGGTGGGCGCTTTAGAAGTCTTCCCGGCGCCCGTGCGTTTCTGTAGCGCGAGGAGCACGTCGTATAAGAAGGATGCCGCGTCCGCTAAGCCGTCATCCAGACTGGCGGCGTCCAGCACATATATGATGCCCCGCAGGGTATTCGAGGCGATATGGGTCATAGCATGCTGATTTCGCAGCTTCCCATGCCCCGGGGTGTCGACGAGTAGAAACTTGCGGTGAGACCCTGGGGCATCGAGACGTGCAGCTTCTCGAAAGGTAGTAGCGCCGTGATCATCGGAGACAGTAAGTTCGACAGACTGGGGGACCTGCGAGGTGTGCGTTGCGGCAGCGGAGTCGCCGCGCTCAAGGAGGGTGAGGAGAGAGGTCTTGCCACCGGCGGGAGGCCCTGCGAGCAGGATAGACGGGAGAGAAGTATAGGGCGTGGTTTGGACGATGTAGAAGTGTACGATGGTCGGTAGGAGGAAGACGATGAGGGCGCCGACGATGAAGATTTCGGTTGAGGGCGTGAGGAGGTACTCGAGGAGTTGCTTGAGAACCTCCATTTTCGCTTGCGGTTGCTGCAATGTTGTTGCAATGGCAGCGAAGATGGAAAAGGGATGAAGGGAAGAAAAGTTGTTATTTAAAAGAAGAGTACATGTAGGTAGCTCCTAGGTAAAGTTTAAAGTTGCCAGGTCATACATATGTACCTAAAGGTTATCGTGCCATGTTGAAATTTGGACCTGCGGTATGTACGATTAACTTCGTTGGGTTACAGTGTCATCATTCGATGCCAAGTCTTAGTGGGAAACTCTATTCCTAGGTAGCTTAACGCATGTACCGTTCCATCGGGAGAGGTACGTACTCGATAAGCCGGGGGTACCTATCATCAGCCAGCAGTAACGTTAAAGTGCCAGGTAAAATTTAATAAAGTGCCAACCCATCCACTTTGCACGTGATATACGCCACCACAAGCCACCACCACCACATTAAAAATGGCCCGTTCGTTCGACCTTGTAAATACTCCCATTTAATAATTATAATATACAAATATAAGTGCATCGTTACGAAATAAATCGAGAAAATTTTGGAAAGATTTTTCGATTTTTTTTTATTTAATTATTAAAATTTTAATGTTTTTTACAAATTTACACGACTTAAATTTGTAAAGTTATTAATAATATAAAAAGCCATTAAAATTAAAAATTATAAATTTAGCCGCATCTGGGTTAATATTGGTCCGAATCACGTGCATTTAAATTTAAAATTTTTATTATTTTTTAATTAAATTAATAAAGTTTTTTTTATTAAATTCGGACTTATATTTGTAAAGTTATTATATATAAATAAAAAGTTTAAAAAGTTTTATTTAATATATATTATTTTTTTATTACGTAATTAACATTATATTTTATTATATTATATATTATATTTTATATTATTTTTATATTAATTTTTTTATTTTTTTTATATTTATTTTATATTTTTTATAAAAAAATTTAAATGTTATATTTATTTTTATAAAAAATAAATATAAATATAAAAAAAATCTTTTTAAAATTTTTAAAAATAATAAATAAATATATAAAAAAATATTATAAATTTTTTATAATTTTTTATAATTTTTTACATTTTTTTACAATTTATTTACAATTTTTATATTTTATATTATTTATTTAAAAATATGGTTACATTGCGAGTGGAGCATATACATGGATTTAAACGAACGGGCCATGTTTTACATGGCCGTGCGTGGTGGCTTTATGTGGCGTATGTGGCGTATATCACGTGCAAAGTGGATGGGTTGGCACTTTATTAAATTTTACCTGGCACTTTAACGTTACTGATCAGCCAGTATTCCATACATGTAGCCAATTCAATATGGTGGCTAGAGATTACTAATGCCGCAATTGGAGAAAGTGGCTTAGCACTGACGACGGCTGGAACGGCAAGGCAGCACCACCAAATGTCACGGGTATTTTTACGTAGTAGTGTAGCAAGTTGACACGGATTGCTGACCTGATCTGATATATGATAATTCGAGGCAGCCAACAAGATCATTACCTATACATTAATGAAGTATCTTACTAAGTTTAGGTACTCAAATATCCTCGTCTAAGACTAAAGACTAATATGATGGTGATGATGTTGTCTTTTTGAATTGGGCATCAAATTTGTAAGGAACCTTATTATCCGAATACTTCACTTCTATTCTGTTTGAAATTGTATAAAATACAAGTGCCTAACTCTTCTTCTTAGCCAATTCCTTCTCCTTGGCGATCTCTCGCGATACTTCGATTCAAATAGACCTTTTTTTTCTTTCTTTTTTCTTCTTCTTTCCGTTTCTTTATTAATCAATATCTCGGAAGACCTGCGAATCCAGCAACAACCCGACCGTCCTCCTTATCAACTCTTAAGGACTAGCCACACGCGATGGCCCAAGACGCATTATTAAATACACATTCCGTCGGCGCTCCGATACAGCCGTCTTCGAAAGGCCCTGCCGTTGCTCCGAAGCTTAACTCGCAAGAGATGGAGATGGGTAACCTTCCTAGCGGCGATCCGCCCCCGTCCGAACCGGATATTATGCAGATTGCTAGAGTAGGAGATATAATAGCTATGGAAAAGCTTTTTGACTCTTCGGATTTTGACGCGACTTATACCGACGACGAAGGCATCACGCCGCTGCACGTATGCGCTGGTCCACGCGTCTCCCTTTCTGTGATACTTTACTAACGATCCCTCGTAGTGGGCAGCTATTAACAACCAGTATGCGATGTGCAAGTTCCTCATCGAGAAAGGCGCCGACATAAATAAGAAAGGAGGCGAGAGCATCGCGACGCCGTTGCAGTGGGCTGCCCAACGATCAAACTACTACACCGTCAACCTTCTCCTTCAACACGGCGCCGATCCTCTCATTACCGACGCTCAAGGTTACAATACTCTTCATATCTCGACGTTCAGCGGAAACGTCTTGTTGGTAGTACTATTGCTACACCAAGGCATCCCCGTCGATGTAGCCGATGCTTATGGGCATACGTGTCTCATGTGGGCTGCGTACAAGGGCTTTCCGCAATGCGTAGACCTCTTCTTGCGATGGGGTGCGAGCGTGCATGCGACCGACGAACAAGGCTTCACGGCATTACATTGGGGTCTGGTCAAAGGTTCACCGCTATGTATACTTAAGCTTCTGGAATACGGCTCGGACCGCTTCGCGAAGACGAGCACGGGGAAGACTCCCGCGATAACAGCGAGGGATCTCAATACCGTCAACGCCTGGCATAGAGCCTTGAAAGAATGTGGTTATGACGAGGACGGGCATGTCGTAACTCCCTGGTGGCCTGGATCGTCTTTCTTCCTCAAGGATAAGCGCGGGTTTATGAACAAATCCTTGTTTCTCTTGCCCGTCCCGCTACTGTTCACCGAGCTAGTGGTCATGGCTCACTTGCCTATATTATTGTCTATACCAATCGCGCTCCTGATAGGGTTCGGCTTCCAATGGATTACGAATCAGATTCTTGAGTATGCCCCCCCAGATATGAGACATCTGCACAAGACGGTATGTATTCTCGGCCCAAATATAATGATATATCACTAATAGGCCTCAGCCTTGGCTAGCTGGAATATTCGCGGCATCTTTATTTTTGGTAGGCGTAAGGTGGATTTTGACGATATTCCCTGGTGAGTTTCTTGGCAATCCGATATTCGACACGGCAAGTTAACTTGTTTCAGCGACATTTTCACAACATCCGCTTCTCAACTTCACATTTCTCTTCTTCTACAGCCTAACGGGTTACTTTTATGCGGCGTGCATGGTCTTTGACCCTGGATACGTTCCTAAGCTCAACGGTATCGCGGAACAGAAAGCCGTAATCGACGAGTTGTTAAGTTTGTGGAAATTCGACGAATCTAACTTTTGCGTCACATGCATGATTCGGACTCCTCTGAGAAGTAAACACTGTAGGCGATGTCAACGGTGTGTTGCGAAGCATGACCAGTAAGTACCATATTCAAATATACGTAATACGCATCGACGCCAGCTCACACGATATAGTCACTGCCCTTGGGTAAATAACTGCGTCGGTGTCAATAATCACCGGCACTTCTTCCTCTACCTCGGCAACCTCGTCTTTGGTATCGTTTCCATCGACTGGTTGCTATATTATTATTTTTCCGAGCTCCCCAAATCCGCTTCTAAAGAAGAATGCTTCATCCTGGCGGAATCTATATGTGCGGTTGTCAATAGCGATCCGTATACAGTACTGCTCGGCATATGGACAACGCTACAGCTTACGTGGGTGGGCATGCTTATTTTCGTCCAATTCGTTCAGGTCGCACGTGCTATGACCACGTACGAAAATATGTACGGTGTTCAAGACGGCTCGGCGTCATCGCTAGTATCGGCCTTCACGAGCACCGGAGCACCCCTCGACCCGAACCATCCCGATGCTGCAACTCCCCCGTCCGCAGCTGACGACCCGCTAGGAACCGGTAAAGGTGCGCATGCGCACAAGCACAAGGGTTTCCTAAAGCAGTGGAGTAGGCTTCTCGGTGTTGACACGTTCATCGAGACGGCAACAGGTCGGGGCGCTGCTACCGGGAAGACAATGCGGAAGAAGCGTAACCCCTATAACAAGGGCTTGGTGCAGAACTGTCGCGACTTCTGGTGCGACCCGGCACCCATATTCGGGCGCAGGGAGACGGGCGATGCGATGTTAAACGGCGAGAGGATTAACTACACGGAGATCTACGAGAGCCCAGCGGCAATGAACCTGGGGCTGGGCGGCGCGGTTTCAAGCGGGCGGAGGAGAGGCGGGTACGAAAGCGTGGCTGGCGACGAGGTGTAACGAGCGATGTTTTAAATAGCGGCATGATAAGTTATTGAGGTTTATGACTTGGTGACGACGAATATCGGATTGAAGACTACGTAGCAAGCAACGAGTTACTTATTCCTAAGGGCTCAAGGAATAAGGAATTAGCATGTACATTATTATTGACTTGTGATGTCTAAGAATCCTCGGGGTCTAGCCTAGTTATGTACAAATGAAAGCGCAGACATCTCGGAGATGTTGTCAGCATTCAATTGTCTTTCGTCCTCTCACCCGTATTAAATTATACTGTATGATAGGGGTTCAGGTTCAGTATTAGATTTGTGTTTACAACCTAACCACATGAGGTAAATAACTCTGTTATTCGGTGTGCCAATCTTATCTAGATTGCTTAATGAGGTGAAAGGAAAGTCTATCATAAGAAGTTTCAACTGTGTAATACTATTGTGTTTAAACAAGAGACTAAGAAATAAATGCTGACAAGTATGTACATCCACGTGGTTCAAGATAGGCCACTCATAACGATCTATAAAGAAGTATCTCCTAAGGCTTCACGGAAACCCAACAGAGCGTTTATACGAGATCCAAGAGTCTGGTCTACCCAATGACCTTTGACCAATCCTGTAGGGCATTAGCGTTAGAAGCGCCCTTCACGACCGAAGCAATATCCACGTCGCCCTTTACGAAGATACCAAAGTGATCGCCAGAATCCTGTCTAGGGTCGTAGAAACAGGTCTTCTTAGGAAGAAACTGCCAATACAAGTTTGGTAGACCAACTTTATTGATATCGTTGGCTTGGGCAGGAAGCTCGCTCTTAGCACTGTTGGCGGCAGTGTTAACTCCCCATTCCTCGACGAAGATGAGCTTGCCGCCGGCCTGCTGAACCCATTTTTTGCCGCCGCCAGACCATTGACCTAGTAGTGCGTTTAGTTTAGGTACTTATATTAAACCTAGAGACAGATGTATTCCCAAATTATGGAATGAACTTACCGGGGTTGTTAGACTGGCTACCCGCATACCGATGGATGGCGATTAGGTCGATCTCAGGACACTGCGTAGCAGCCTCGATGAAGGTGCAGTCATGCGAAATGTCACCGCCGATACCTCCAGTCGCAATTTGGATCTTGTTGTTAGCACCCAGGACATTGCGGAATTTCTTGGCGCGGCCGCAGAGCCAGTTCTTCTGGTCGTTATTCTTGCAGACCGAAAGGTCTGGCGACATGGGCTCGTTCTATGTTTTTCCGACGGTGAGCATTGCTAGATGGATGCGGACTCGAAGAAGAAGAGATAGAACTTACCTGGAGGTCAAATGCCATGATTGCGTCGCTCCAGCTCTTCCATACCTGGCCGGAGTGGGCTCCCTTGTAGTTGAGAATATGGTCGATTCGACTATCGTAGGCTTGGATGGCATCCTCCGAGGAATAGAATCCGGACTTGCCGAACTTGGTGTACACGTCCCTGTATATATTTCAGACCGGATATCCTTGCTGTAACACCTGAGTAGTAGAGTGCTCCAACCAGACCGAGTGCTTACCTTCGATAGTCATCGAGAAGCGAGTTTGCGTCGTGGGGCGAAATAATTGACTTGATACCCTTCTTGGCTAGCTTATTGACGACTTTATCGACGGCATCCAGCGTTTTGTCATCGAACTTCCCCAAGTCGGACTCCAGTGGTCCTACATTTACCGCGAGGTTACTGCCTTTTTCACAGTGGCCCGCAGCTTGTTGGTTTACCCACACGCGGACTACTTTGACGCCATAGTTGGAGAGGTCGCTGATGTATTGATCTTGGTCTTTGTCAGACAAACCTGGGAGGAAGTCTGGAATACTAAGAGTCAGTGTTCAGTTCCGACTAGAAACTTTCGTCACACTTCTGGCAGCTAATCCTAGGCCATTTTGACTTGGAACTCCAAGGGGAATCTTTCTGATACGACGTACATAAGTTGGAGCCCATGAATGAGTGGGAGCCTTCTCTTGGTTCGACCTCGTGTAGGGGAGATGCCATAACTCCTGGGAGCGCTAGAGCGCCAAGGCTGAGAAGCAGTGATGCCTTCATTTTTGTCGGCTGTATTGGCGTCTTGGTTATAGGTAATAGTATGAGTACCTAAGTTGGTTTCTTAATGGTGAATCTTGAGTTAGAACTAGAGGCTGTTCTTGGGTATTTATACAAAAGCACTGGGTAGCATAAAGCTTTTATCACTTCCACTCTAGCCTTCCACACTGTAGATCACAGTCATACGGACCAAAAGGAATATACCATTGCTACCCTGTTTCCGAACATGATTCGATCCGGTGCTAACATACGGTTTCAGTTCGCAACATGGAGCTTAATGGCTCCCTTTGAGGTTAAACTATGACCTCAAACCCTAAGCTGACATATGAATAGGACTCTCCTATTCAATACTTACTGTTAATATGACATAACCCCTGACTCAAAAGGGGAATATAGTATATATTTCGGGGACGGGCTAAGCTTTCTCGAATGTACATGGCAACTCTGGTTTTGGATGGTGGTAATTTCGCACTATCAAGACTAATTGGGATAAACCCTCACGAAGACCTCACTGGACATGTCTTCAACCCACCATTAAAATCATAGAGGTTACTTAAGATCAGCAGCTAGAAATACTCTTTCCTAATACTACAATATCTAAAAATAAGTACTCGTTGAATTAATCTAAGTATATTGCATATCTATCTCAATTTAAGGACGCATATGCTTTAACCTCGTCCTGTCGGCTCTTTAAGCTTAAACTGGCATTCGTCTAGAAACTAGGCGCGGCATATCACTATTACCGTTTAAAATAGGTATTTAAACCGATTATTTCATCACGATAGCAATGGTATTTTCTTCTATTTTAAGTATCTGAAGAAAGAAATACAAGACTTAGCATCGCTTCCTGCCCTCCCATACTACCCGTAGGCATTTATTACCAATGATGACCTGCGGCTGGTAGGCTTGACCCTACTCAACCATTTCACGGTGCTACACGAATTACAGGTTATTGCTATCAAAGTCTTAGTTAATATCTGATCAGTTACGCCTCGCCTCGCGTTCTTGACATCATATTGATTTAAACCCGTGATATAACCTAAGCTCCCTTAAGCCCCTTTTATTAAGCTGTTGCTGGTTTAACCCAATCTAATGGTAAGTTAGCTAAAAGCCTCGTTGTTGGCTGCAAGACACACAAAGGGATGATGAAGTATATATCTAACGGGCCGCCAAACAACATCGTGCCTCTTGTATCAATCGTGAGAGAAAACATGAAGGTTTGCGCTAGAAGCTTTCGAAATGGAAAAATCTAAACCGAATTCTTTGAAGAGCCATGTCCTCATCTCGGTACCGATCATACTATCCAGCCCATAGCTCGCAATAGAGCGTTCTTCCAATTCTAGCTCATCCTCTCTTAGCATCAAGATCTTACTGGCATGCTTAGAGATATGTCTCGCAGTGACATAGATAATCGCCTCTAGACCCCCTGCAGACGCTTCATCGAGTTATCGCTTGTTCGGTTGGCGGCTGCTGCCTCCAGCGCGACCCTTGCGCTCTATCGAAATCTCAATGGCATCGTTCTTAGAAACCACATCGACAGTGAGGAGCACGCGGAGAACCAGCGATGTGGCCACTTGGCCTGCCACGATGCGCTGCATGGCCAGCGAGTCCAGGTAGCTGTTGGCAGCGCTGTAGCTGCTCTGCCCTAGGTTGCCGAGCACGGCCGAGATGGAGCTGGTCATGACGAAGAAGTCGAGATCCAGGTCGTGTAGCGCGTTCTGTAAAGCCAGGGCGCCTTGGGCCTTGAGTGCAATAACCGCTGTAGATAGGGGCGCTCATGTTGTAGCTCGAGGACGTAATCCTTTTAGAGTACTTTACTTAAGAGCAATTTAGCACCCATCTTTTAACACCCATCTTTTAAAAGTGATTTTATAGTAAAACATAATATATCGTAAAGAAGTTACCAGAAATTTGATCGTGTATGCCAACATAGCAATGGGCCACTTTTTGTAGCTATTTCAGAGTTCTATTGAGAGGTGAGGTTGGCAACACCTTCAGATGTCCTAGGGATTTAAAGGAGAATTGCCTACCTACCTAGGTATGTATCTCTGAGAAACCACGGTGGATTATACATGTATATATTCTACTATAATGAGAATGCTACCTCTAGGATCCGAGTCGTATATACTAAGATGAATGTTATGTTCTGTCATTGAATGCTTTTAGTGAGGCTTTCACAGGACAATAGAGAGAGAGCCTAAGCGGTAGGAATATCATTATACTTCATCTTGGTAATATGGATACTCGCAATATAATATAGCAGAGAAAATAGGAGAAACATGAAACCCGAAGAATACAGCATGTTAAATTTGAACTCGCGCATTTAGGTATTGTATTGGTTACGCGTGTCTGCGGCATGCCGACAGAAATCTCAAGACCTCAAATTATGGTAGGAATACGAATGCTGGATGTCAGTCTAATAGTCCTTGACCTTACTGCTTGCGACTTTCTCTCGCCCTTGATAATAACTTCTCGAGCGGGTTGTCTTCACTGAACTAAGAACGAGTGCCTTCTCTACCTACAGAATCAAAGCTACCTAGATCTAGGGAAAGGAACATATCCGAATCTAGCTAGCGAGCATTATTAGTAAGTCAATAATTTTCAAAGAATCTACAATAACACGCACACGTAGGGCCCCAGACGGATGAAATACGAAGTGACGGGTATGAGTAAGTTAATAGATGGGTAGCTGCGTGAACGTATGAATGGTGTAACCCACTGAAGCAGCATCTGTTATTGGAGTAGGATGATTCAGCTGCTGGGCCGGCACGGCAAGACGAATCCTTCGGGCAGAGCTGGAGATCGAAATTTCTGGCCGAGTAAGTACTCTCTGCTCAATACGTGGGCATGTCGTTCTGTGAACGTGGCTTTGGTTTGGGTTTAGGCAGAGCATGGAAGGCTCTGATTCAGTAATAAGTAGTCCTCCATGAATCGTCGCGAAGGCTAACGCATAAAGTGGGTTGAAACCAGTACTATCTTTCAGCTGTAAAGATAAAGGATCTATGTCAGACTATAGGCTGCAGTTAGAGCTGACCTTGAGCAGTTGGTGACGATGTATGGAGCCCGCATGATGCCCGACAAAAAGCGCGCCTCTCGACTAACGGTCCTAGGCTAAAGCCATACTGTTATGTTCCGCCTCATATATCCGGAAGAAGCAATGTTCGTAGCCATATTAGCGTTTGGTCTCGGGCGGTTAGAACTGTTACGATGTGATGAGGACTTAGATCACCTTTGTCTGTTTTCCGCGGAGCAGGAAGACGGGATAAGGCTACAGAATCATCTGCGATGATAAATCATGACGGAGGAGCCAGTTGCTTTTTTACCAAGGCATCAGGTCTCACCCCTTATGCCAAGCTGAAATATATTCGTAGATCAAACTTGTGGTCCAAGAGTCGCGAAACAATATGGAATTGATGAAAACGAGACATGGTTCGGATAATGGCACCGTCCTAGTAACGAGCAATCTAGTATGTAGTATCGAAACTGCAAGAGTAATCGCCGATAGTGATACCCGTGAAGTCTATAACGCTGGCGTCAGAATCTTTGTCGACAAGGATGCGCCAGTTGACATTATACACATATCGCACCGCTGGCCCGGCAACTTGGGACGCTAACTTAGCGAAGTGGCTCATCTCAAGGGCAAGTGTATGCACGCCGGCCGGCCTTGTACGCCGAGCTGAAATGCGCCATTGCGGATCGCGATGTTTCACCGGTAAGATAGAGCGGCCTAGCTGGCTGCAGCTATGTATGCCCTGAAGAAGAATGTCAAAAAATCTCCTAATGCTTGTCGTCCAATTCCGCGGAACTTTTGCTTTTCGTGGACAGAATTCCGCGATTTCAGCTTGTTGGCGGAAGCCATAACATAATGCAAGCCACAGCTGTCATCGACAGCGTAGCATCTTATACCGAAAGACGGAGTCGCCGTAATTATTCATTTTATGCTCCCTGCTGATACATTCCAGCATAATTCTTACATTCATCGCCAAGATGTAGACATTACGCGTAAAGTGTGACGCGTACGCGTTTTCGACGCCGACATCTTCAATGTCGCAGTTAGTTTAAATCAGCAAGTCGCCTTTTGGTACCCGTTTTCTTTTTCCGGTAAGAAAGGCATGTCGCTTTCTTTCCTTCTTTCTTTCTTGGTATGTGACACAGCTCCAACGAAGCTTGATGTTTGATTGATTGAATTCTTATATTAATAGGATTATTGTTTTACTGTACCAGGTTATCCCGAGTCAAGTCGCATTTAATGCTGCCGAGAAAAGTAATGTGACCTGGAAATCTTGTTGCTACGATATCGCTCTCGTAGATGGATCGTGTCGATGAGGACGTATTCCGTACAGGCCAATTGGATAAAGGACAAGGAATATTTAGAAGTCAATATAGCGTTAACATACCTATTCAATCAGACGAAGCAACAAGCCTCATTCGCTATTGTCATGTCACTCTGAGACATGGAATGGTCTGGAAGTAGTTAATAAACTATCGCCAACCAGTTGCGATAGGTTGAATCTTGAATGGATTGCGAGACCTGGAGAAAATTAGATGGAGTCTAATGCTAATGCAGCTAATGCAGCTATGCTTAGCCTGTACCAGTTGGTTGGTTGGTTGTTTCGTGGCACCCATTAGTGTATGCAAGCCACCAGCCGAGTCCTTCACACTAGAACAATAGAATGTGTTCTACGCTAGTATTCGGGATACACTAGTATTGTAGATGCCGAAACTAAGGTTGTTTACCTAGGTACATACATAGTAGGCTAGGTACGTGCTAATTTTAATGAATTTTCCTATTGTTGAAACAATTCTATACTACCTAACATAATGTATTCTGCGAGCGGTGAAACGAAATGGGATTGTAGGTTGGTCTTTGGTCTTTACCGTTGTACGGTTTCGGGCTCATTTTTACTCTTATTATTCTTACAGAGACATCCAATTCATTGTTCGCATGCGGGTAGTATGTACCTACTATATCAATCCAGCCAATGATATTAAGTTTCAGGGGTCCCCCTTTTCCTCTTTCGTCTCAATCAACCCTTCTATATTCCAAAATCGGCCAAGATCTGCTTCATCGTTATCCCATCAGACTGTCGTCATTTCCTTTTATTTTGGTCCTTCAATACCTATTTTCATTCGAAGACGCCCGCCCAGTTATCTCTTGCAAACTTGAATCATCCTTAACAAGTCATCGTCATTGTTATCATGTATTCGTTCCCTTCTAGCCAATATTCGCCCACGCAATTATGAGCTGCATAAATCATAAGATAGTAATAATAATGCTCAGCCTCTCATCTCACTATGACCATCCTTTCTCAAACACGACTCGGACGGAACCTTGAAAGTTGAATGAATATGGGAATGGGATATCAAGATCACATTCAATTCTTATGCAATCTTCAGCACTTTTCTCAAGCCATCAAGTCATCGTGATTACTTGGGTACCTTGGTTTCAGCTTTCCAAGCCCTCTTATTTCGTCTATTTACCTAGGTCAATTAGTGCAAGGCTTTCTACACTAATACATACATACATCTTACGAGCTCTACGTACGATTTTTACATAGCTACAATTCGCTAAACTAGGCCTTTCTCAGAACCGTGTGAGAGAGAGGGTCTGTTACGCGGCCTTAGACCCTTACATTCGCAATCTCACCAGCCTACTTTTTTTAAGCGCCGGCCGCTAAACAATTCGACTCACGGCGCTTCCGTGCGTACCAATCGTGAATTCTATTGGCCAATTCGTTGAATTTGCCCAAGTACGAAGAGTTGCATTGCACAATTACTACGTTCCTGCGTCTGTCGAAACATTGCGACCAGAGTTGGCAACCGTTTCAGTCAATTTATGGTTCTAACTTAAGAACTTTCCGGCGGTAAATGTTCTTATTTAACATCGGTGGGCGGATTAACCAATATATACCCCCTATATATCTCCAATTATTTTCATTCTTTTAAGCCTGCGACGCCATTTTCTTATTCTCACCATGGATCCAACTACAACGCTCTTTACTTTTATGCTGTGAGTTTTTTTTATTGCAATATCAATTCTTTTCTATATGCTTTAGCCTGGTGCTTCCGTTCACTTTCGAATCCGACCCTGTCATCATTCGCATACGCTATTATATTCACATTGTTAAGACATTTATATCCGCTCGGCATTTTCGGACTTCGATCATTCCTCAAGCAGAAACGGCATTTAGAGGTGGCACGGCATAACGCCTCATAACATTCATTATTCTAGAAGATCCCGATCCGCTGGGATTTGAAAAAAGAAACAAAAATTGACAACCCCAGCGCGATATCTCCGGGCAGGGGTTCCACGCGAAGGTCAGATATTGCCTATTGCCTATTGCCTACTTAACGATAGTAGGTAGTTAAGAATTTACACACCCTGTCAGCCCTGTTGTACCCTGTTATGGAGCTGGCCCGATAAATGGGAACGAGGTCCATTTTCAGAGGAGGGCTGCCAGCCACCGTTCCTGTCAGACACCCCCAAAAGCAAATGCTGTCTAGTGACCTTTAGCCCGCTTACACCCATACCCTGCCTGCACTGTACTGCCCTGCCTTGCCCTGGCATGCCTTGTCCCCAAAGGTACCCCGAGTGAGACCCTTGCTCTGTTACTCGATGCCTAGAAGCTAGTTCCGATGCCTGTCCAAGTGGCAGATAACAGCAATGGTCAGCTTACATGTCTTCTGTTACTTATTATTCACTACTCGCCCTATATAGAGCCATGGTGGAACTCGATCTGACATGCAAGCTTACCATATCGTAGTCAAACTCATCCTTCTGTCTCATCAGTCCGGCTACTTGGGTCGTGGGATAATTTTACAAAATACCATAATATGGAA